ATTCTCGTCTCCATCACTTGCACAAACAGCTCTTCGGCCTCCTTCCACCGCCCGTCACTATTCAAGGTCATGGCACATTTCCATACCAAGTTTGTCTTAGCCTCGTCCTCTTGTCCAGTGAGGCCAGATAATAGAGCAAACTTAGCATGCGGAAGCAATCGTCTCCACTTGCTTCTGCTCCCATGATTATCGTCTGGGAACACCTCAAGCAGACGTGTAATGGCTACTTGACTCTGTTGACTCAGCAATCCCTCTTTTTCAAGCCAGTTGCGTGTCGAGACATGCACCAGTCGATGGAGGTCGAGCGCTGATTCAGCTGTTCGTTTGGTGACAAATGAGTAGGCGTCGAGGGTTCCTACCGCGTGTATTCCCTGCTCATGCGGCGAGGCCGCCGGGAGAAGAGCGAGCGGAACGTCGTTTCGGTCTACACACGCCATAAAGAGTAAATAATCAGCTGCCAAAGTATCGTGGCGACGAATCTGCTCGAACGAAATAAGCCAGGTTGCAGCTATCACGTTCTCAGATTCTCGATGAAGAGGTTCAACTAAACCCTCCATTTTCTCAGCTAGTAGTGATAGATATTCTGGAAGCGTTATCTTGTTGATATTGACGTAGGCTGCTGCTTGCACAATAGCTAGAGGGAGGTACGCCAGCCCTTTGAGCAAGAGGTCCGCCTTCTCTTGCTCGTTCGCCGGGTTGACCAAATACGTTTCTAGCATCCTTCGAGCCGTGTCCTGTTCCATCTCTGGCAACTCTACAATACTTTGTGGTGCCAGTTTCGCGGCCGTCTTCCTGTTAGTTGTTGTGAAGATGATAGCCCCCTGCCCAGAGCTTGGTAGGAACTCCATCAGGCCGACTGCCTTAGCCTCGTCCGCGTTGTCGAAAACGAGGAGCCATTGCCCTGCGCTCTCGCTGCTTAAGTGGAGTTGTACCAGCTTCCTGACATCCGCCTTCTCATCATCCAAACCTGGAATGTTAAGCCGTCGGGCAATGTGCGCATACGATTGATAGAGGCTCTCCTTATCGCTTGCAGATATCCAGAAGACTGAGCAGTTCTTAAGCTTTTTTTTGATTCTGTACGCCAACTCCAGCGCTAGCTGTGTTTTGCCTATCCCACCCGGGCCTGTAATTGCGACCTTTGTAGTTGATGCTCCGACGAAGAGCTTTCCTTCCAGCTCGGCCAGTTGCGATTCGCGACCAGTAAATCGAGTGTTTTGGTCAAATGGTACGATAAACGGCGTGGTGTTAGCTACGGGCTAGGCTTTAGCGATTATTCGAAAAACTTGTGTAAACAGTACCTTTTTCCATTTCCTCCTGGAGTCGCTCCAGTGCTCTCTTCATTCCTTCGCCGTATCTGAACTCCATGGACACACCGAAAATTCCAATCAAAGAGTACGCCATATCTTCTTCTTGCGTTGTCTGGCGGCCCGCCATCCATGCCATTCGCTCGGGAACGCTAACTTCGTCGAGAGGATCGCCCCGTAACACTGTAACCGGGATGCGAGTAATCTCATGGATCTGCTGCTTGAGGGAGTCTTTGTCCCCAAGTCGCTGACGATCTGAGGAAAAGAACTCGATTAATGCTGGAGCTAGGAGTTCTTGAAGCGTCCAGCCTCGAGTAAACCATCTGCTCTTTCGAAAGGATGCATCCCATGTACCCTCGTGCAGATGTGCATCTGCCATAGGCGTCGAGACGTCCGAGAGGAAAGCGTAGCATCTTGCCGCATTCTCATACCACTGGAACATAGAGTTTATCGCGTTTGACAGTTCGCGGAGTTTCCATTTGTCAATACAACAAGTGTCGACCCAAAAGTACTGTAGATGGTCATGAGCCGCTTGTTCACCGCAGAACATAATCTTTTTATAGCCAGCCTTGCCATGTCCAGTGCCATTCATCAGATCTTCGAAGAGGAACTCGTCATCACACCAGGTGTGGGAAAGAATGGCATATGGCGGAATTGTTTCTTGGCTAAAATTCGTCGAGGTGAGTCGCCCGGAACCATCAAAGTAAAGGAGTCGCATCGCAATAACGATAGTTCAAGAGAGCGGGCAATTTACAAGTAATCCGGAGGGACGGCCACGGGATCGCAGGGGAGATAGTAGCGCTCTATGTGTCATGATGGTGGGCCGCGTGAAGGCTGTGTGGAGGCTGTGTAAAGGCAGTGCAAAGGCGTTGAACAGGCAGGCTCAGCCGCACCATCACGTGCAACAGAAATAGATAAGCAAATTGATCCAAACCATAAAGGAAGAACTTTGACGAACAATAAAGAACGAGTAGCGAAGGTAGTCACTTGACTTGTCAGCGATTGAATACAGAAGCTTTCAAGCTACAGCAGCAAGAAGGTTCGCCCTTTTGTACGCTTACATATGATGTTGATGGAAAAGTGCTGCAAGCTATAGCAGCGGGTCCTTGGCCGTCACCATCTTAACACAGTAACTTCACCCGCAGCTCTAAATAGATTGCAAATTGAGAATGTAGAGGGAGGAATCTAATGCTGCTTTTAGGGCGTAGAACATAAAGCTACTGCATATACAGTATAGGTTAAGCTGCGTAAGCATGCTAACTAGTAATACTTGACAGTGCTGAGAGGAATTTGCTACTTAGATCTCGCCACCACGTACGGGGAGGACGGGCGACCGGCCACACTCTTGTGGGGCTCTAAACTCTGATAGAAGTACTTTTTGGTACAGTGGCAACTCACGTGCCTTGGTATGTGGCGGGCAAAACGGTGAGGAATATAATACAGTTAGCTAAATGTATAATACTCTTCCACGTAAGCGCACTAAAGCCGTACGCCAAGACATTGAGCAATCCTTTGCACAGAGAAACTTTATTGTGCATGCCTTGGTCTTTAAAGCTCGGAGCTATTTTCTTTCTTGATAGAATTATTATTCTAAGGCTCCGGAATCTAAAACTGTATAAATAGTCGTAGTGGAGCAGGGGCGCAACACTAATATGGTTCTGGATGCCGTGAACGGAACGATCGACAACATGACCAAGATTGTTGTATTTTCTAGTTGTAGACTGGTTTCCTGAGGAAAAATTGTCTAAAGAACATTAATATATTGGCTATAACTTTGGGCTAGTGCTACATGTACGACCCCTTTTTGCTACCTGTACGATGTCGTATTGCTACACGTACGACCCCCCCTAGCAGACCTTTCACCGCGTTCTGATTGGCTCGCTTATCGGGCCGACTCCTCCGGAGCATAGATAGCGTACATTAATCAGCCGCCTAGGAAGCGCAGTAGGCCACCTAAGAACTCAACACCAGGAGGTCCTACAAAGAAGCAACGTGCGAATACCAAGGCAGACCTTGGGCGGAAGATTGCGCTACTAGCAGCGCAGGTACGGGGTTTACAGCCTGTCGCAGGAAGTACAGCGCAGTCGATAGGCCTGCCGCAGCCTCATGAGGCAGCTCGTAAGGCGGCTAATAAGGATTTTAATAAGTATGCGGAGGATCTTGTTGATGAGGACTTCATGTAGGTGCTTGTAGGCCAGCGGCGATGGAGAGAGGGCCGCTATTAGATGCGAAATTGACGGTTTGGGCATTCTCCTAGGCAGGTAGGCAGGTAGGCACGTAGCTATACAAAATGGGAAGGCTGCAGATGAAACGGAAAGGCTGCACGTGCATACAAGTTGAATAGCCGGAGCTTCCTCCGGGCCCTCCGAGCCAATCAAAACGCGGTGAAAGGTCTGCTAGGGGGGGGGGGGGGGGGTCGTACGTGTAGCAATACGACATCGTACAGGTAGCAAAAAGGGGTCGTACACGTAGGACTGGCCTAACTTTATAGGCTCACGAGGAAAGACTTAAGATGCCCGAACATTAAAATTTTCTCGGCACCAGGGGTTTCTCGGCACCTAGGGACGCACCTTACATATGTGAAGCTCAAACACCGTTACGTTCACCTCTGCAGACGTTAACGATAGACTCACGTGACCAATACCGCTCTTTGTCCCTCCAATCCCGAATCCCAAAGCAACGCAATGCCGTTCTTTGAGCTCCCCTTCACATTTCCATCTCCGGTCCCCTCTTTGTTCGCCAATTCAAATGACGAACCCCAACACTCAAAACCCTTCAACTCCTCCACTCCCTACACCTCTCCCCATCACTCCTACTCCACCAAACATACCCCCAAAAAACCCCCAAAGCCTACCATGGCCAACCCCCACCCAATATCCTTCTCCCCCTCCTCCTCTTCCTCCACCACCACTTCCTCCGGCAGCTCCTACGAAATCTACGAACCCCCCAGCCCGCCCGGCTATGAATACGCACAACACCGCCGCTCCTCCAGCACCCTCCAATCCCAATCGTCTCGACGCCCCAGCACCCTCCCCTCATCTCCCCCCTCCCGCCACCCTAGCACCCTGTCCCAGATCCCCAACGTCCCGCCCCCCGGCCCCGCGGAACTCCACCCCGCTCTCAAAGCGGAGCGGCGACGCTCCTCCGGCGCCGCACCAACCCGGAGGGTTAGCCTCCCGGGCATCGCGCCGAGCAAGTACTCGGAGTATATCTACGACACCGGGGGAGCCTCGACATGGGAGACGGTGGTTTGGTGGGCCTCGCAGGCGGCGTTGTGGGCTGGCGCGGTTGTGTTAGCGGCGGTTGCGTTGGTTGTGCTCAAAGAGCTGGGGGGAGGGGTGTGGGGGGCGGTGGGGGAGTATAGGAGGAGTAGGGGCTGGGGCTGGGGCTGGGGCTGGGGGGTTGGGAGAATCGGGAGTTGGAAGTGGTGGTGGAGTTTGGTTGATGTTATGGGGTTTGGCGGCAGGGGCAAGGGGGATGGGTTGACGAGGGCGGAGAGGGCAGATTTGGGGTTTCTGCCGTGTTGGCGCGGGGAGGGGGGTAGGTGGGTTTGTAAGTAGTAGGGGAAAGGGTTTAGGGGGGTTGGACTGAGGAGGGGGATGGAGGGTGCAGGATGAGTTGTGGAGTAGGTAGGGTATTGTTGGGGGGATGGTGGTTTTGTAGAAAGAGGTAGAGGTGGAGTTTCTAGAGGTTTGAAGAGTTTGAAGAGCCGTTTCCTCACTAAAGTGCTATTTTTTGAACATCGACGTCTTTGCGAAGTACTTTATCGTCTTTAGTTCGGGTTCAGTTGCGTGCGATTTCTTCAAAGGATGTTCTAGATATTCAGTCATTTGTGGATGTTTATGGTTTGGCTGGTCGTTACGATTGCCGCCATAGTCTATGTCGATCGGGTAGGATGGCCAGCATTTTCGTCCCCTCAAGAGGAAATATCTCCGCGAAGACCCTTCAACACTATCAATGTCGCATTCACCGATATCCTCCATCATTGTACAGCTACCAGTGACTTCCTATCGTCTTAACCTTCGTCCCCTTTTCTTTCGCGGCAGACCCCTCCACAGACCACTTTTCCATCTCCCAGAATGATCGAATGTCGCTCTTTTTCTGCATTAGCTGGTGCAGGGACGTGCGGGAATAGCATTGTAGATGCAATGTCCTCAACCCTTCTACATCAAGTAGACTTCGTAGGTGAAATTTCTCCACGGCGACCGAGAGCGGGGTTCCCAGCAAGTGGTGGACGTTGAAAGTAAGCCTGACTTCCCTCAACGCCGGACAACGACGGATGTCATCCCGATCCTTTTCATAGCAGCCGCTAATGAGAGTCCAATACGGTCCCCTAGCGATGCTAAACCCTGGGAAGGCGAGATATCGGACATACTTGAAAGAATTGTTTTCGGGTAGCGTCATCAAAAACGCCATGAGACCTCGAGCTTATTTGCCCTCATATGTGTCAAACCGGTATAGTTTGGGGAAGACAGCCGTGGTTTCGTGTTTAATCTGTTGGTTGGCGAAGCAGATTCTTGGAAGGAATTTGGTGGGGTGCTTAAACGGACTATCGTAAAAGACGTTAGATTTGAAGAAGAATGGATCGCATTCGTAGCCCCGGTCGGGTAGGACACACTCGTAGATCATGTCGCGCAGCTCGCGCGGCAGGTCGAAGAGTCGGAAACAGCGCTTGGAGTTGATGTTTTTGCCGGAGGCGGAGTAGAGTCTGCTTGTAGAAGGATAGCTTCCACTTATTGCGGCCGGGATCATGTTTTGTCCCATCATGGGCATTTGAGCTAAAGGCAGACTGAAACGTCTGTTGTATGCGGTTTGGTGAGGAACTTGCGGGGGGGACCGGTTGAGGATGCAAACCCTGGAGTCCGTAAGGTGACGGATAGTAAAGATAGTGTGACGAGGGTTGGATGAAACTCGGGCATGGCGCGTTGAACGGATTCTGTGCAGCGACATGTGCAGAATTGGGGTTGAACGATTGATAGGCAGTATAGTGAGTTTTGCTGGAGGCGGAGTAGCTATTCTGTCCGTAGACGAAGTTGGTTGTCCAGGGATTGGGGTAGAGATTTGAATTCGCGTTTTGACTGGAGGTGTAGTGGGTATTTCTTCCGCCGGCTATGTTGGCAGCGCAGGGATTTGTTTGGTTAATCATGGCGAAGCTCATGACGTTGTACCGGGCAGTGAGCGATGCCGACATGATCACAGGCACAGGTCCAACGGTATAGGGAATGTTTGTGTAGATCCACGGCTGTGTACACCACTCCATAGGCTCCAGCTCCAAGAATGCCTGTCAACTGAACTCCAAGAATGCCCGTCACTTGCAGACTACCGGCCCAGATCTGGCCAATATTTTGCTCCGGCGCGTAGAGTACATTGGGATCGTATAACGTCTGCGTTATTGCTAGACGAAGAAACGATTGTAGTGTTTGGATAGTGATAGTGCGAGTAGATGTGATCTGGTGTCAAGAGTAGTGAAGACGTGGAAGGCAGTACAAAGCCATTACGGTTTGCCTAGATGGTGGCCTCAAAAGTGAAGATCCATGGATCCAAGGAAGGTCTAGATATGATTGTGGGGCAGAAGTTCCCATGGATAGGCTGAATAAGCAAAACTAACTTGAAAGGTACTTAAACTACAGATGATGACTGAGGAGTACTACTCCGTCACGGCGGCCCTCTGAGGTATTGGTAAAGGTTCTGCTATTGGATGAAGAAGACTCCTGCTTACAGTATTTGGCCTGGAAGCCACCTCAGCTTGCTTCTAGCTGCATTTCGGCTTTATTGCTCATGTCCTGGGGGTTCGGTGCTTGATGGCACAATTTTAGAAGCGCACGAAAGTGCACCTGTTCAGGCAGCCTAAATTCGTACATCTGGACTGAATTTCCGATGATGCGCCAGAGCACCTCAGACGCTACAAGCAAGTATGCACGAACTTTGTCCAGGGACTTGGCAGGAGACTGGCTGATGACTTTCCATTCTTGATTGTGAGCTGTACATTTGAAAGTTAGACGCAGATTCTTGTATACCACCACTTTTGCTAAACCAGCAATGCTCCCGCACCTCGGCCTCTCAGAACGGCGCAAACGGCCTTCGATACCAATACCTACCCCTTCACGGTCGTCTTCTTCTGGCTCCTCCTCATATCCTTCTCCCGCTCTTTCTCCAAAAACTTCCGCTGCTCGTCAGCGCTCATGCCTTTCAGCAGGTTCTCCCGCTTCTCCTTCTTGGCCTTGTCGGCTTCGAGCTTACGCTCCTCGGCCTTCTCCTGCTCGTCAACCTTCTTGATCTTGCGGATCTCGTCTTCGCGGGTCTGGCGAATGCGGCGCATAGCTTCGGGGCGGAAGTGGGCGACGGAGGCGAGATGATCGGACATGCGCAGGAAGTACTGGAAGATGGGCAAGGTGGCTTCGTAGTCGCTTGCATTTGAGGGAAGCTTCATGGAGAGAGAGATGCGCTTCTTCGGGATTGTATCGTCCAGTCTAAGAATATTCTGTTAGCTTCTCCATTATAGGAAGGGGATGAGAGAGGGAGAATGGAGTGCATACTTCTTTGGCTGGTCTTGCGGCTGGTCACTAATGACCAATGCCTCCAAAAGCTCTCCCGCCTGCTCCACAGCCTTGATCAACTCGGGCGTCAACAGCGTAGTCGTGACTTCGGCGCTCTCGCTCATGATGGTAGCCCACACAGGCAACTTCTCGTGGTCCTTAGTGGTTGTGAGACTGAGGTCGTAGCGATCCTCCCGCAAGCGCCTCATGAGATCCTTGTGGACGATGCCCCATACAAAGCCATCCACATGCGAGTTCCCAACTTTTTTCAGAGTCTCTCCGCCTGGCACAAGCTTGGTCTCACGCCCGTCAAACAGATACAATGTCGCCTCAACCCTCTCCTCCGGCGCCGGCAAGCTCTCGAAGAACAGAGAAAACGCCACTTCTCCTAGCCACACCAGCGGGTTGTAGCGCTTGTACATGCTAATCTTAAAGTCCACAAACGCGACATTCTGGCGGCCAGTCGCATAGCTCGTGAACTCATTCGCCGCCTTTTCCTTCAGCAAGGACGATGTGTCTCCCTTCGCAGCCGCAGCTTCAGCCGCCTGTCGCAGTCCCATGGCACTCACATCGTCCGCGGTCGGTGCCTTCGGTCGTACCCCGAAGCCCACCAACGCAAACTCCTGGTGCAGGATTGGCGCGTGTGAGGTGATCCATCCGCGCGCCTTGCGCCGGTTCGTCTTAGTGCCCCAGACATGCACAAGGATGACGAGGAGGATGAATGGCGCAATGTACATCTCCTGGCGGAAGTCATTGATCGTCGTGCGCTCCCACACGCGGTACCAGGCCGTGTAAGGGACTGGAGTGCCAGTGGTCGCGGCGAAGGCGGGGGATGGAGGGACACTGGACGTGAGGGAGGAGGAGACTGGGACTGGAGAGGGTGCGCCGGCAAAGTCTGCGAAGTCTGTAGAGAGCATTGCTGGTTAGTTGCGACTGGTAGGCCAGATGTGGGGAATGAAGCTTGGGAGATGCGCATACCATCGTCTGCGGCAGACGGCGCAGCGGACTTGGGCCCTCCGAAGAAGCCCTTGATGATGTCTGCCATTGTCACCTCGAACGCCCCGTTGTGAGTTGGTTGGATTGGAGATGGGAGGTGAAGAGTGGAGGTGCGGCGTTGCGGTGGTGATGGAGCTTGATTCTCGCGTACGCAAAAGCGGTCGACTAGAGCTAAATTGGCAACTCATCTCGGACCGGCCTGAGATGGAGTGGTCTGTAATTTGGGTAGAGCTTGAGAATGGGCTATCCTTTAGCTTTGTGATGCTTGACGAAAGTAGATGTTGCTAAGTGGTGATGGGTGATGTCACGGAATCCTTGACCAGCCTCGAAGGCATAGCTGGATTGGGATGATTATATTAACACATTGCACTGTTTTCGAAAGAGAACAGACTCGACCGCAAAGCAAATTGCCAGTGCAGAAAATGGTCTCGAAAAACCGATATAAACGCCCGAATCATACAAAGGCCGTCTGAGCCCCAGAGAAGAAGGCCCCTACAACCAGCTCCGTCCAATATCACCAATGCCCGTTTACTGTGCAGTCACGCCAAACCATCAACAGACCCCGGATGATAGTCGCAACCTAGTAGCCAGTGGCTCCGGGGGCCTTCTCATCTTTCCGCAAGCTCAAGAGTAGCTCTCTGAACTTCTGCTTTTCACTTCCGCTGGCTCCGCCCTTGACGCCCTTCCCACTCAGGTCCACAAGCTTTGCAATTCGTTCCCATGACGTTCCGCCGGACGAAGTGTCCTCTCTCGAAGCTAGGAACTCATCCGCCTCCCGACGTGCCTGCTCCATTTGCTTCTCTTGCTTGTTGTTGTAGTTGACGTAGAAGTCGTCAATGTTCTCTTGTGCCTCCTTGACGGTCTGCTGCTTTCGCTCCGCAGAGATCTCGTCGCGGTGCTGGAGTTGAAGATCACGTCGCTCGCGCCATTCTCGGATGACGTCCGGCTCTGGGGAGTCTGAGCGCATTGGTGTGTATGCGCGGCCGGTGGTCGGGGCGCCGGGGAGATATGGAAGGGTGCTGCCGGTTATAGTTCCGCCTGGGGCCATGTGCTGCGTAGTCAATTAGCATGCTTGACTTCTGAAGCTCGGGAGCTTATGCGCTGAAATATAGCTATACATACGTCGTTTGTAGTATCAATCGCCGGGAAGGAATCCTCGAACCCAGCCATCTCCTGTCCACCGGCATTGCTTTGAAAGTCCCCTCCCAGCAAGTCATCATCTCCGCCGTCCTCGACAGTCGCTACTCGGTCGCCTGGGGATGTGAATTGGTTCGCGTCGTCGCCGAGTAGTGCTCGCTCGCGGGACAGGAAGTCGTCGCCATCAGTGGCATCGCCAACGAGATCGAAGTTTGAGTTACCGCGTGGCTCGGTGTGTCCTGAAATACTGGTCGTCAGTAGGTGAGATCAAAGGGAGTGCCTGCAAAACAAACCGGCATCGATCTCGTCTAACGAAGGGAATCGGTCAGCCATTGTGAAGTTGTAGGCGTGGAAGTTGCCAGAGAGAAGGCTTGAGAAGTCAACGAAGTAGAGAGAAGAGAAGGGGGTGTTGTCGGGGGTGGTGTCTTGGTGAAAAAGACCAGAAGTTCAAGAAGTGGCCCAGAGACCGCGGTCACGTGCTCTGTGGTCCGAGCGCCCTAGTTTTATGCTTGACTTCGGGCTGTCGACGACGTTGCAACTGCCACCAACCTTTGGAATTCTGCACTCTGCAAAGCACACCACATATAGCACTTGGGAGACTGCCTCGTTGTACAGCTAAAGCCGTGTTTGCGTGAAGCTTCTTAGGAGTGTTTCAGGCGTCATGGCGTACACAGACGATGCAGTGAAGGCAAAGCTCTCCAGCCTCAATGACACGCAGGATGGCATCGTGACAGTCGCGCAATGGATCATGTTCCACCGGCGCTATACAAACCAAACTGCAGAGCTCTGGATGGGCCGGTTGAAGGAATCGACGCCAAACAAGCGGCTGAACCTGATCTACCTCGCGAACGGTATATCCTCTATATTCGACACCATCGGGTAACAAACAAAGCTAATAATCGCATCCAGAAATCTGCCAGCAGTCGAAAGCCCGCCGTAAACTCGACTTCATCAATTCCTTCGCGCCTCTCATGGCAGACGGGACGGCCATCGCCTACAAAGGCGCCTCCAGCGACGTACAAGGGAAGCTTCGACGAGTCGTAGAAGTATGGCGACAGCGCGCTATATTCGACGCCCCGACTCAAGACGCAATCGAGAAACAGCTTGACGGTACAAAATCAACCATTTCCCTCCAAAACAATCCCTCTCTAATACCAAGCAGAAGTCGACCGGTCCCGAGGCCCAGGCAAGAAAGCAGCCCTCGGCGGCTCCCTCTTTGCCAGCAGCTCCTCCTCCACCCCTACAGAGCTCCAACCCCTCGTCCCCCTCCAAAACGCCTCCACGCGCGCCTCCACGCTCTCCAAAACCGCCGTCGACAACGCCGACCTCATGTACGACCAGCAAATCAACGCCAACCCCGTCCCCACACCCCCCGTGCACGCCGCTCGCCTCTCCACCCTCTTCGGCACCCTCGCCAACGCCGAAACCGCCGTCGCCACCTCCATCGAGGCGCGCAAGAAGCTCATCTCTAGCCTCGAGGCCATGCTCGACGCCCACCGCGGCACCCTCGCGCGAGAAGAGCTCCAAAAAACCGAGCTCGGCATCCGCAGAACCGCAATCGAGACGCGCAAGCGCGACGTCGAGGACGCCATCATGCGCGGCCTCTCCGCCGCCGAGACCGCCACGCGCATCACCCCAATCCCCTCGCGGACCTCCTCCATCACCCTCGACGCCGACCCCCCGCGCCCCGAGGCCGAGGAGCTCACGCCGCCGCCCGTCGAGTCCTTCACCCCGACCGGCTCGCCCTCCCACGTGCCCCTCCCCGACGTCCCCGACGACGTCTTCGCCGAGCCGCTGGATATACCCATCGAGCCCACAGCTGTGCCGGCGCCGCACCCGCCGCACGCGGCGCACTTCTCAGCGCCCGCGACGGGCATCGTGGCGCCGCCGGGCGCGGATCTGCTGTCGAGTCTGACGGGCGGCGGCGCGGCGAGCGGCATCCTGAATGGGAACGGGCATCCGGCGATCCACCCGGGCTCAGGGGGCGCGGGCGGAGGGTCCAACAAGAAGCGGAAGATGAGCCGGACCGCAGCGGAGGACGCGTTCGCGCCGTTTGTGGGCGACGATGCGATGGCGGGGATTGATGATGACGTTGCGGGGATGCTGGAGGGCTAGCAGAAGGCCAGGAAGAGACGATCGAGGGAAGTTTAACGGGTGCTTCTCGAGGACTGAGGCCTGAGGGTTGTAACTTACGGTATTTGGCGTAGAACCAGGGGCTTTTTTTTTTCTAGGAGTCAGCGTAAAGGGGCATTTCGAGGTGCATTTGCAACCCATATCTAACGTGGGGCGCGTGAAATCCACTTCACAAACTGGAGAGTTTGTTACTCAAAAAGCTAGTCCGTTATCAGATTCGAGTGTATAAGTTATACAGCTATACAGTTTTGCTTCCTCTTAATCTTGTCTTCGTGGCCTCATCCGAACTCTCCTCAAACCTCACTCACTCAGCCTACTCGGGATCCCCAGCCAGCTGCTCCTCCTCCACGAACCCCGGCATCCGCCCACTTCGCTCAATCTCCTCCATCGCCTTCTTCCCCTCCTCCGTCGTCGCATCGATAACCCCCTGCTCCAGACTCAACATGCCCCCCTCACCCAGCTTCCCAACTACCTCCTCCGCCTCCTCCACGCTCATCTTCGCGAGCACCTTGTTCACTTCGTCCAGGCTCCCGCTCTCCAGCGCGCGCTGCAGGCCGGGCGGGAACGCGTCGAACACCTTGCGTGCCTCCTCCTGTCCCGCGCGCTCGGCGGGATCGTCGGACGTCGGCGTGGCGGGTGGAATCGAGATATTGATCTTGGTGTTTGGGTCCACGGCGTGCAGCTGGATCTGCTCGACGCCCTCGGCGGACTGGGGGTTCGCGGCGCGCTCCTCGGCGATTTCGGCGGCGCGGGTGTGGATACGGCGGTAGGTGGAGTCGACGTCGTCGGTGAAGAGTTTGTTGGCTTGGTGGTCTTTTGTTGTTATGCTGGCGCATCAAATGTCAGTATATTGATATGAACTATTAGGGGTACGCGTCAAGAAGGGCGGGCGATAGGGGGGCTGTACGCACCGTTTAAAGAACAGTCCGACTCCATCGCGACCTCCGAGTTGGCGACAGTACTGGATCAGCAGGGCTTGGTGCACGCATTGCTTTGCGTGCTTGTGCTTGCCGTCGAGCTCGCTATTGAAGGCTTCGACGAGGAGGCCGTCGGTTTCGCGCTCGGCGAGCACTTCAGGGTGGGCCGAGATGAAGGCGAGGCAGGCTTTGTAGTCGCCGGCTTTGATCTTGGCGAACTCTTTCCCCAGGGGCGAGGCTTCGGTTTCGTCGCCGTCGGAGTTGGTGCCTTCTTCAATGTCGGCGTCGGCGCCAGAGGATTGGCCTGTGTCGGTGCGGGTTAGGGGGTCGCGTTGCAGCGCGCCGGGGTTGAGGACTTCGACGGTGGATTGGGGCTTGGGTTTGCTGGTGGTGGAGGAGGAGGGTATGGGTGCGGCGGCTTTGACCTAATGGGCATGTCAATACTTCGTGTACAAGGGATGGTATAGAGAATGCTCGAAACTTACATTCGAGTAGTCGAAGCCTGTGTGTATGTCGTCACTTGTGATATGCCTCTTCTCCTCCTTTTCCAGCTCCGCCAATTTAGCGTATAGCTCCCCTTGTAGTGCCTTAACCCTATCTCCATGTTTCCTAATCTCAGTAATGAACGCCTCGAGCCTATTCTCAGACTTCGACTCGTCCACCTCCTTCTTGACCTGGTCCAACAACGAGCCCATCATCTGCGAATACGTCGGCTTCTCCTTCATTTGATCATGCACACCGGGCGGGGGCGGTGGAGGCTGGTCATCCGCCGGATCCCCCGCCGACTCTATCATGGAGCGGAAGAGCAGCTTGTCCGAGTCGTCGGCGTCAGCCTTGTGGGATTTGAGGGCGGTAAGGAGGTTGTCGATGCGCATAATGAGGCCATCGTTGATTATGCGCTCATACTTGAGAGTGGTGATCTGGTGGCGCCGGCGGTCACGCTCTTGGTGGATTTGGGCTTGTTTGGCGCGGATGAAGGACTTCTTGTCGACGTTTGGGTGGACTTCAATGTCCGAGTCGTCGCTGATTTCCAGCGCGTCCTATGGCATCGTTAGAATAGGATTGGGCAGCTAGAGTATATCAGGGGATTGGTACCCATTTGCTGTAGTCTACCACCATGATTGCGGTTGTGGTGGTGTTGAAGTGGTGGGATGGCGGGGTGAAGTGGGATGAGGTTTCTAGCCTCGAGGCTAGACTTAACTTTTGAAGCTTCGGGATTGAATTGGTACGTTGTTTTAGTAGTAGTGAGAAGTTCCAGGAGAGTATTGCTGCCAGGTGAATCTACAGCCTGCCGCCCTTTACTATGTATGGACATCACCCTTTGGTGACCTTCGATAGAAATGTAGAGCTCGGGCTAACGATCACGTGCCACCCCAACAACACTCCATTATTTAGCTCTCTCCACGACTTAGAGAACCACCCCAGAAGCCATAATGCCGTCAGAGCTCTCAAACATATCGACGCCCCCGGCATGCATTGCAGACTTCTGTCTGATTCCTATCGGAACGCCAAGTGCCTCGGTGTCAAAGGAGGTCGCGGAAGGTACTTAGATATTCAGAACAGCTGATTAGGCTCCGAGATTAATCAACTTTAACTCTTTTTGATAGTCCAGCGAATTTTGAAGAGATCTGGTCTGACGTACTCGATGCACTCAGCTGGTACAACTCTCGGTATGCTGACTGTCTGAACTCGAACATGATACGAAGCTCTTTGCTAATCCCAATCTTCAGAAGGGTCGTGGGATGAAGTGACGAAGACTATCGGTCAATGCCACGCCCTTCTACACGCCAACGGCGTCGTCCGGATTCAGAGCGATATACGAATCGGAACGAGGATCGATAAGAAGCAAACCTTTGATGACAAAGTTGCAGCTGTCCGCAAGATCCTGGAAAGCGACGAGAAAACCGTAGGGGAAGCATGAGGATATCTTAGCTGCTTCTAAGAAGAACGACTCGGGTATCTGTGATATAACTACAAACAGTACAATTGTCTTAACCATTTTCTTTGTCCAATGGTGCTTGCATTCTTTCGGATTGCAATCCAGCCAAGGTCGATTCCCAGAGCATCTGCATCAGACTCAGTCAATAAAACAAGCATTGTAGATAGATAGATATATTTCTGTACGCTGATGTAGCTCCCGCGAGAGTCCATACAGCGCGTAATCTACAGAGAGCATATAGCCAGTGGCTATATTCCAAAGAGTGGAGATATTCTGAGCATGACAATCTCAGGTATTAATTATACCAACGACGGACTAGGTAAGGGTAAGGGTATATCCACATCCTTCCATCCAGCCATCAGTCCATCCAGTCCCAAACTCAGTACACTTTTGTTACAACGCACCGCTTAAAGCAATCCAGCCAACCCCACTGCCAACTCAAACCCGACCTCCCATATTATACAAGTAAGCGACCCAACCATATGTATCCCATTACCCTCATCACGTCATCAAGTCCAGCTCGATGCTTCACGCCTCATACGCCGGCGGCGCCTCCACATCGCCAGCTTCCCACATCCCGCTGTCCAGCTTCGCGGCAACCCGCTGCTCGCCTCGCGCCTCTTTGTCCTTCTCGTCCTGCACGCGCCGCGCGATCTCGTTCGCCATCTTCATCATCCAGGCTTGCTCGAGTATACCACCCGAGCCAGACGAGCTGGACTCTGCGTACGCGGTGGGCGAGAGCGGGTGGCGGGAGGTTGAGGAGCCAGACACGGAGGTCTGGAAGGGGATTTTGTCGAGGGAGAGAGAGCGGAGCATGCGAGTAGATCCAGACACTTGATGGATGTGGGATTGGGGTGGTTTCGAAGTCGTTGAACGACCCAGCTGAGGGTGTTCCGGCGTAAGTGAGGGGAAAGGAGAAGCGGCTTTCGCTTTCGATCTGTCGCGGGAGGTTTTCGGGGTCGATAGTTCAGATAGGACGGGTGCGGTGGGTGTGGGGTCTGCGGGCTGTTCTAGGAGTTGAGCAGGCTCGCCGACGTCGAGACTGCCGTGCTGGCTTTCGTAGCGAAGAGTCTTGACCGGAGATTTGGGAGGGGTCGCGAGATCTTCTTCGTGGTCTTCTGGGATGGAAGCGATCTCGGAGATGGTGATGCTGGGGGGTGCGGAATTGTCTGTGCCGATGCTGGACGCATCTTCGCTGGTGGTCTTGTCCTTTCGGAGATTGACAACGCGGGTCTTCTTCTTCCGGGTAGTCCTCGTACGTGAGCCCATTCCGATGCCGGTTTGAGTGGAATTGAAGCTTTGTAAGGTCGGACGTGATGATGCTGTCTCGTTGCCGGTACTGCTTGACGCAAGTGATGGAGTTGTGGACTTGTTGCTCCCAAACGAAGATTGTATGCGCGACAAGCTAGACTGTGTGAGAGACGGCGTAGCTATCCCTGAATGTTCGCTGCGCTCGCAGGCCCCGGCCCAAGCGCGGAAAACTGTCTCTCTCATCGCAGGTGTGAAGAGGGATAGGGTGTGATGAGATTCGGTTAGGGCTGCTAGTCGGATGAGGTTCTTTTGAGAGAAGGAGGCGTGGGTTTCGGAGGAGGGGTCGAGGGCGAAGGCAGAAAGTTGGTCTTCGTCAAGAGGGTTGCCAAACGCGTCTACGGCATCTTGAGGAGGACTCGCTAGAGGGTCTATCGGCACAGTAGTATCCTTCGCTTCTTGTTCCATGCGCTCATCATCCATTTCTGCATATTCAGGCGACCAGAGGCGCAGCGATAGCCTGTGCAGAATGGCGGGAAGGTCTTCCATGAATAGCACCCTTAATTGTCCTTCGATTTCCTTCTGCAGATAATCTCGAACAAACGGTATCGAGTCGAACGTCGAGGATACTTTCAGCGATTCGAGAGGGTCGTTACGGAAAACCAGTGTCAACCCTTTCTGTCGCGAGAAGACCAGTATGACGAAGCCTGATAACCGGATGTCCGATAGCGTTATTTGCAAGGGAATGGTCAAGCCGGATGCTGCGGCCAGAGGTTGAGGCGACGCAAATGACGGTTTCGTGGATAGGTATGTGTTTAGAGGGTTTGCTTGTACTCGAGTCTTGAGCGTCAAGAAGGCGTCTCCAGTATATGACATCTTGAATATTCCACGGAATCTGTCTTCGGCCAGGTCGCCAACCTCCAAGATCTCCAGCTCAGGCGGCGTTGATCCTAGATTGAGCTCGGTAACAATGATATCGTCGACGATGATGGGCGGCTTCGGCGACTTATTCAGAGCCGTAGTTAGCATGATCCTCGCGGCGGAGGTGTCGGCCATTAGCGGACTCCAGTTGAAGTTGAACGCCATGGTGTTGCTGTCGTAGCAGGGCGGCGGTCGTGGAATTTATATCGGTGTGGGCGAAAGTGCAGATGACTGTAGTCGCGTGCCAATCATCACTATCGTTGCCGCGAGAACGCGCAGGCGCGGCGGTGAGCAGCTTCCACAACGAAGATTGTGTGAATGAGAATTTAAAAGCGGGGAGAGGGCGATGAAATCCGGGGAGAGATGTAATACGTCGGCAGTGGACTGAGAGGCTGCATGTGGAGTGATAGAAGGTAAGGTGAGCGATCGGGAAGTTCAGGGCCAAGTTTTCCCGGATGCGAAAAACTACCTATCCCCATGTCATCGCTGCTCAGCACGTGCCAGCGAAGTCACAACAACCTCCTTAATTTTACAAGAGCGCGTATCCTGGCATTTTGGGGCCCAAACACCTGCTTCGGACTTAGCACGCCAGCCCTGTCCTTGTTCAGTGATGGAACTATCCAAACCTTAAAGAGAAGTCGTAAAAGAGCCATCTGGGCGAGAAGAAACGTGACTGGGACTCCCTCGACGCGTTTTCAAGGTCAAGTTGAGGATACTATGGACCGGGTCTGATTTACATGCTGGAAACCTTTACATCGTATCCCTACTTTTTACAGTGTGCTGAAGAACGTCAGACGGTAGCAACAGGGTGTCAAAACGAACAGCCAGGTGCATCTTACATAGAAAAAGCTCCTAGATTACAGTCGCTGAAGGAACGAGTGTGATCTACGTGCTCGACTTCTTTACATCGCGTCCCGATGTCGAAGAGCATGCTAGAGGGCTACAGACAGTAGCATCAACATGTCAAAACGAAAGCCACGTGATTCAAATCTACGCCGCGAAGATGTTGTATACCGAATTTGCTCATGACTACAACTACTAAGACGTGAGTCCTATTTAGATGCTGGAGGGTGGTGCGTTCTGTTGCAGTTTTGAGAGGATGCTGGAGGGCTGTAGATAGTACGACCGGGTTGGTAAAATGGAAGACCTGGAACGCTAATTTTAGAGGCGCGGTTAATGGTGTTGAAAGACAGGTTGTAATCGTGATTATATAAGAAGCACATCCAATTTAACGTGTTCTACATGCATGTGGTGGTTACAAGCGAGTGGTGGCGCTTAATTTTTGGTGCGATTTGGACGTTTTGACACCCCAGCAACCTCAACAACTATAAAAGATTTGAATCTATAACTTAGAATAAAGATATGCATAGCTGTTTCAATATTATAAGACAAATTTTTAGGGTCTCTTAATGGCCACATTTAGTTATAGTAGAGTTTTGGCCCCCTAGCATTGGGTAAGATCTACGATATAATAGAATTACAGAGACACATCACTCCAAACTATTGCCTAGCCATTGAAATGAGCTAAATACTATATGCATTCATATAATCTTATTTAATACTTTATGGTTGTTGAGATTGCTGGGGTGTCAAAACGTCCAAATCGCACCAAAAATTAAGCGCCACCACTCGCTTGTAACCACCACATGCATGTAGAACACGTTAACGTAGTTCACTGGCTAGTGGTTGCCCCTAGCTAGTGGTTGCCCCACCAAATTCTCGCAGCCAAAAACGCGAATTACACAACAACGAACAATCGTATTATATATAACTATCTACTAGCTAGTTGCCTGCCGTCTAGGGCACGTACGTGCATTGTGTTCTAGTGAACTGCACATACTGCACTTAGGTGGTGCTCGTTGCCGTGGCTCGGCCGCTCGGTGAGCCTGGTGATCAGGACAAAAGCCTAATTCAGACGTTCCAAAATGTTACATCCTATTTTAATATTTCATGCCATACCAGAGGACTTCAGGCAGTACCATCACACTCCCATCCCATTTACACGCACTGCATATCATTCAGCTGACAAAGGTATCAAATAACCGCTCGTGAATCAGCCGCCTACTAACACCTATTTTTCCTTATGCATAACCCCCCAGGATCCACTCCAGATCCTCAAAACGCCGCGCAGACAAGATGGGTATATATACTAATTCACGAGCCAATGCCAATCTCATAACCTAACAACACCTCCGTCGAGGCCCCCTCCCAGCCCCGGTTTCCGCCCGTACTAATCATAAAGCTGCACGTAGGGTCAATATACAGCTGCGAAATGACCCCCGTGCGGTGCCCCGGCACAATGAGGTACGGCACCGCCGCGTAGCGTGCCCCTTCTTGCTCCTTTAAGTCATACAAGCGGAGGATATCGTAGGACGCGCTGCGTCATTATGTCAGTAAATGTGCCAAGAAGGGGAAATTGCGGAAGTTTGACATACCAGACGAGATGCTTAGCGTTCGGCATCGCACGCACAGCACTTACAGGCCCACTTACGCCTGGAAATTTGAAAGTTCGGCGGGGCTCGCGTAGGCCTTTGTGGAGGCTGTATTCATCAACAGTGCCATTTCGGCGGCCAGCGTAGATGAAGTTGCCGTCGGGTGACCAGCACGCGTTCATGCACCACGGAGGGGTGTGGGTTGGGAGGATGCGGGCGACGGGGTTAGGCTGCCGGCGGTCCCAGATGCGCAATGTTCCGTCGATAGAGGCGTCGACGAAGGTGGTTTCGGAGGAAGGTGCTGGGTCGACTTGGCCGTTGGAACTGCCGGCGATGGTAGAGGTGTCTTCGGAGTGGGGGAGACCGTTTATGGTGCCAGTGGTTTGGGAGTCCGTTTCTCCGTTCATCGTCAGTTCGTCCGAGGTTTGTGGTGGCTCTCTAGCAGATTGGTCTAGTTCGGCAACGGGAGCGGGCGGCTGGACAGGCCCTCCTGCGTCTATCATGTCGATGTCGCCCTGCGCGTCTGCGTCTTCGTCGTCTTGCTGCTGGATGCCGCTTGCGATTGCCCGGGAAAATTCATCGTCTTCGTCGTCTCCGAAAGGCGCGACTCCTCCGCTTTTGTCATCGCCGAACAGGGAGTCTTTGTCGCCGAAGAGGGAGTCTTCAGGAGAGCCCTGCACATCCTCATTGCCGGCCTCTTCCTGGCGAGGCTGAGTAGGCCTTCCAGATGACACTCCGTTCGAATTGACTCCATTAGGAAGGGGTTTAGCTGCGTTGTTTGAGGAGAAGGTCCCGTTGGAGACGACTGCGGGTCCTGTGTCTTGCGGAACCGGCAAAGTGGATAGCGGACGCTGCTCTATGGCTGAGATCTGCGCGCCACTGCTCTGGTAACGACGCTTGACCTGGCCGGTATTGAGGTCCCAGTCATTGATTCTCTTGTCCCAGCTTCCTGAGAGCACTGACTTCTCGTCCTGGGCTAGGGAAAGGACAGATACTGCAGAGGTGTGCTCGCGAAGGCAAGTTATACGCCTCCCTTCGTCGTGGCGCACGGATTGTAGGTTGATGCCTCCAGACTCGAGTCCCGATAACAACCACAGGCCTTGGTGGTGTACAGCGAGCGAATAGACGGAGGAGAGGAGCGGCGAGTCATCCGTGCCGCTGCGTTGTTCTGCAGCTTGTGTTAGCAAACGAGCTTGCACCGAGAGTCTATATAGCTCATACCTTCTTCATTTTCCCAATAGCTCATCAGTACTCCAGCCTTCGTGACACTGTCGACAAACGGGTGTCGTTGCGCAACCGTGAGCGCAAGCTTGAAGTTTGCGGTATCCACCCAATTGAACTTCCTGATGTATCCATCTGCTCCACCACTGAACACCCAGCGCATATCCGGGGTCGCGGTAATAGCATTGATCGACGTGCTATGCGGCGCCGCGATTGTTGGGACAATGTCGTATACGGGAGCTGTGAGTGCTTCGGCGCGCACGCTTGGTCGGAATGGCAGTCCTGCGCCGGGGAGAGACGCAGCTCTGGGGGACGGCGAGGTCAACAATACCCTTGGATTCGAGATGCTCGCACTGCCTTCTCGAGCTCCTGAAGCTCGAGTGGTGGTGGGGACGCCGTTTGTGAGAGTGGTACGGCGGATATTCGCTGGTCTTGAAGGCGACTCGTCCTCCTCTTGCTCATCTTCCTCGTCATTGTCACCCTCTTCTTCGTCATTGTCGCCGTCTCCGTCTCCGTCTCCATCAACATCCCCATCAGCGTCTGCGTCTCCTTCGCCGTCTGCGTCGACATCATCCGCATCCTCCATCTCGGCGTCGTTGTCTGAGCTCGGGTCTGGAGAACCTAGCGGGAAAGTCAATACTTGGAATTAAAGAATGCAAGGATAATACCCACCCGCTCCATTGTCGTCGTCGTCCTCGAAGCTCGCCATGATGTTGGATATGGATGAGGTTGCGCGGAACGACGTCTAGCATTGAGAAAGAAATGGCGGGGTGGCTATGCTGTCATGCGCCAACCCGTTCCTGGCGTTGGCTAAAATGCCCGTTTGTCGCCTCGTGAACTCTCAAGTGGCATTAACATAATGGTCAAGTCTGTCTTCACATCTAGAAACATGAAAGAGATCCACTTTAACATAATAATTATAATTGAAGGAGTTCTAAGTCTTATGCGGTACAATATCTACTCCCGATAGAGTGGGCAGTATAACCACGATGATCGGGAAGTCAAATCCTAGCTGCTAAAGACCAAAAAGTATAATCGTCTAAATGTAAATTATATAGAATATAGCTATCTACTAGCTACTAGCCTAACACCAGAGAACCCTATAATCTCCCAATGCAGCTTTTCGTAACTCCTCAGACCAACCCCTCAGCCTTCTCAACATCCCTGATATCTCTCAATGCTCCCAGCTCAAACGCATTAGCCGTCTGATTATCCGTCAACTCCAAAAACCTCGGCAAAAGAGGGATTTCTTCAGGAAACAGTCGCAGAATAGTCGCAACATCTGCATCACTCTGCCCGACATTTGGGCCGAAGGCTCGTATAGCCGTCTTCGTCCCATTCAGCGCCCCAGCGGGCAAGATGGAAAGTCGATAAGTAAGAGCATCAACAGCCTTCCGCAACTCTTTCGCAGAGCCGTAAGCACGATTAACCCAGCCCATGTCCGCCGCTTCCTGTGCTCCGATGCTGGTGGCGGCTAGGAGGTACTCAGCAGCCTTCGCCATGCCCAATTTGCGCACTAAGAACTGGATCCCACCGTTGCCTTGCAGACCCCCGACTGCAACTTCCATAGAACCAACAACGGCGTTTGGGCCTGCGAAGGCCATGTCGCATTGGACGAGAAATTCGTTGCCAGATCCCGTAGCATGGCCGTTGATCTCGGCGATGAAAATCGTAGGGAGTGTGGAGAGGAGGCGGGCTGTTGCGACGGCGTTAGCGAAAAGGGCATTGGTTTCGTCCGTAGTCAAGTTCGTTCTGCCGGGGATCAAAAGTTCAAGGTCATAATGACCCATCCAGAAGTCGGGGTTGTCGGAGGAGAAGACTATCACTTTTGGAGGTGGATATTTGGCATTCGAGGGAATGTTGGAGGGAATGAGGCTGTTAAGGAGAGTGGTCATGTCTGTGCCCAGTTTGGCGTCATACAGATTGATGGGTCCGTTCTGGATGTTGAGGCGGAGAATGCTTCCGTTATTCTTGCGAGTAATGGAAAGGGTTTCGTGGCCAAATGTGCCATTTTTTTCCCATGGTATGGAAGATGAGAGTGCGCTGACAGAGATGGCCGCACTGAAAAGCTGAAAGAGGGTTGTTTTGAACATGATGCAAAAGATGGAACGTGGAGACCTGTTTTTCTGATGCTGATGAAACGCAAAGCACTTGGATGATGAATAAGATGCAGGAGATTTAATTCGATTTATATAGGACTTGAGCTGTCCGTCCGAACTGATCTCGGAAGGCACTGCAACCCGGCTCCAGTGAATTGGCTTAAGCCCCGGAAGTCAATTGAAAGGTAGATTCGACGATTTCGAAGCATTCTGACTAAGTCAATATCCCGCCAGCCGTACCCTATACTGACTCTGCTATGATTTCCTTTGCCAGATCTGTTGTGGCTCACGGCACGGAAGGGTTCCCCCCATTATCTCCGTGCTTACCACGTGATGTAGATGAGACACTGAATTTCTGAGAAATTATAAATCAGAGATGATGTTGGGGACGGGAGGCCGGAAGACCTAAATACTAATCACTCAGACTTTGATGCTGGGCATGTTCCAACCCATTGAGTCCGCATTGAAGACACACTTGGCATCGATCAGTGGGATCTGAGGTTGAGGACAAAACTTTGGAATGGTTTGAGAGGGCTGGAGTGGGTGAGTGGTTGGTACAGGAGATTCTATAGTAAGCACGGGACTCGTTTCGCAACTACACCAACAGCCCATCGCGCATCCCTCGCCATCTCCCTCCGCTCCCACGCTGCATTCCCTGTGATTCTCGCGTATCCTTGGCGTTATTGTCTTTGTTCCATACTGGGGAAGTGTACGCCGAAGTCTTGGCGGCTGCCTGGAGCTCCGATATCAGCTTCACGTGACGCTAACCCGTGCGCCAGAGACCATTCAACCTCGCTTGGAATCCTGGAACGACAGCTTCTCCAATATTCCACGATGACAGGCAGCCAATTTCTGAGAATCCTCTCCTAGTCTAAATCGTTGCTCCCAGGTAAAATAAGCATTGGTTGTCTCGTGGAAGAATCAGCTTTCCAGCACAACGCGAACCATTGGAAGAAACGAACCTTCATACACCTTTCTCAATTACAATATAAACTTTGACCTCGCGGACAGTTCCTTCCAGAAGCTGTGTCACCTCAAACGTTACCTCAGAGCGCGAGGGTAAGGGTTGTGAATATGAAGCTTGTATTAATCGGCTGTAAAGCCTGTAGCTATTGTATACGAAGAATTTACTAGGGAGAGAAAATTTGTATCGAGCGATCGCGTAGAAAAACCCATTGCTGGTGGTACGCTAAGTAAACGTGGGCAGGCTACCAGGTGAAAGAACCAGGGTTCATCCCATACCTAGGTAACACAAGCCATGCAGGAAATCGGACTACCACCAATGAAGAAAACAACAACGTGTAATCGACCAGAATCTAGCTTGCGAAGTCACGGGTGGGATTGCACCATCTTGATACCGCCCAGCCCAGGTCTTCCATTGCCTTTCTCGAATTAGACCCATTTGCCGTCAGCGGACTGCATACCATAGCTATTGTGGTACTCAGGCGCTACGTGGACAAGTTCGATCTGGTCTGCTGAAGTCGCTCCATGCTCCCCCATTCCATGATTCAGTTCCTCTCTTTTCTTTTCAAGTCTCCTTTGCTGTACAGGTCGCATGTAAGTACTTGAACAAGTCCTCGAATGGAGACAGTGTGAGTGCGCACCTTGTATTTGCCTTTGACGTCGTCGAAGACCTTCAGAAAACCGGCCACACCAATGACAAACGGGATGAGCTGACCAGTGGAGTTCACAGTGTAAACACCGGAAACCTTATTCCATTTCAAGGTCAGCTCAATTGCGAGGATTGAGTAGATCGGGGCACAGGAGTGGATCATTTGTAGCAGCATTTTGATCCACTGCTGCTTTGCTCGACTGGACTCGTACATTAGTCTCGGTTTCCGAGGTTCGTCATTCACGAATCGTCATATCTGGAAATTTCTTGGCAGCACTCACCGTTCGGAAACTCCATACTCGTAAGAGCGGAATACTTTGAATGCTCGTCGTAGGTGGCGGCGACTGACCCTCAGGCGTCCAAGAACGCTTGTAACATCGGACTCGGCGCCAATGGATCCGTCACGTACTGCTTCATCCGCCTCAACATGCATTTCTTTGAGACGATCCCATATTTCGCCATAACTTTTCATGGCTGGTTGAATTGGGACGACATATTTTGTGGTGCCACCATCGGCGCTGATGTGAAGACCGTCGAGCCTAATATCCACTAGGTGTGCAGAGAGTGCGCTTGTGGAGGACAACGCACAAGAGTATCGAAGGAAGAGGGCGAGTGATGGTTGGGCTTCCTTGTTTATCCACTCGATCAAGTCAGCCCTGCGCGTTTGGTTCCTTGCGTCGACGGATGAGCGGCGGGTCGCCCTGTATCGAAAGATATTCATGAGGGGTCCTTTGTAGAGTAGGACAAGGCCAAATACTATGGCGACAGCGCAGTAGAGCGAAAGAAATGCAAAAAAGTTGCTTGCTCTTTCAAAGTGTCGAGCTGGAATTCTTCCAAACAAAAAGACGGTATTCCCGCAGGGCGTAGCAAGGAAACGATCGCCGGACCTGCCTTTAATCCAGAACCAAGATCCATATATTGACATCGCCATGATTGTGGCATTTCCAAGTAGCAACCGCCACGTTGTTGGCATAGCTTCTTGAAATCTTTTTCGGTAGCCTTTTACAGAGAGAATCCCACCAAAGAACATGTAGAACATGACAACAATCTCAATCGTGTAAGTTCCATCTTGAAAAGTCAAAACAAATAGCGCAATCTCCAGTGCAATTGAGAAAAGGATGTAGGCATCGGATAGATCATTAGAGCCTTCCAGATGGAAGTAGAATGCGATCTGCGAGGTGAACCACTGGAGGTAGACACCTATCCTGATTCCGAGGCCGTACAGATCGGAATTTCCGGAGAAACCGCATTGCTGGTGCGTTGCAGACATTTGCTCTGCTGGAGTAGCCTGATTAGAGCCTAGAGGAACGATTCATCCCAGGTGGCTCTCATGCAAAAAAAGGACCTAAAGATTCACATCAAACACATCAAACACTTCGAGTAGACAAACGATATTGGATCCGCTGCGAAAACTGTGAGGAAAGGAGAGCATTGGGCAAAGTAGAAGTAGGTGAAATGGAAGACTGGGAGATGCAATGGGGGCTGAAACTCAGGTCCTTCAGCTGCGCCCTACGGTATTCTAGCGCTCTAGAGGGTGTGCTAGGGTCGCGAACGATTTCCGAAAATCACCACGAATTCGAACACGAGGCTTTTCGCACCGTATCTATATTTCTATACAGCCAAGCTCAGTAGATGAGGAAACTGAGGTTGTAGATTCATAAAACCGTGATGGTAGGCTCCCTAAATCGCTCCGGGAGCTGTTTCCTACGTGTGACCCACTGTAGCCTCAGGCTCCTCTGTGTCCGTCTCATCGTCTATCCACCCGGGTTCTTCAGCAACTGATGGCTCAGGAGGAGGCCTGAATAGCTTCATAGCCCTAGTTTCGCCGCGGGACTGCTGTTTGGTGGCCTTAGCTGCTTCCTTGGTATCCTTCGCAGCCTATTTCCTACTCGCAGTCTCAGCCCACTGTGCCGATACCTCTCTCTCGCACATCTCCTTGTTCTGCACCCGAACAAGGGCCCGTTCTTTGGCCAGTCTGCGTTTATCCTCCTTCTTCTCCTCCCGTAGAAGCTTGTTTTAGAGCGTTCTGTCGGCCTCGACATCAATCGCGCGTTTCTTTTCCTTCTCTTACTGCTACTAAAGATTATAGAACTACTGTACCTTACCAGGACTATAGAATATAGCTCCACTATTACTTATTGTCGCAATCTAGTAAAAGAGAGGCCTTAGCTTCTACCTCTTCTACTGCTTTACCCTAACAACTCTCCAGTAGCCCTTAATATATAGCTAGAGGATAGTATTCTAAGCTATTAGCTTCTAGAAATATTGATAGAGACTATATATCTTATAGAAATAGACTTACTTGTGAGGTGACCGAAGCACCTGCAGTATATAGCTACCGGATAGGATGCAGATACATCCTTTCCGATACATGTAGCCTGCCTGCGTAGGCGTATAGCCTGCGAGTCACGTGCTCGCTTAGGCCGGGATATATATAGCCCCTGGCCACGCATCACGATTCCTCGAGGATCCGTCTCTCAATATACGAATATCATTAATTCCATCCTCGAGATCCCTGCCGTGCACTCTCCTCTCACAGCGAAGAAGTGGGAGGAGATAAGTTGATCGGAGGTCTACGCGCGTATCAACTCGCCAGCGGCCCTCCTCAAAAGCGCCAACTACATGCACAACTTCTACTTGGTTGCCTACCCCAATCGCTGCCCCACTCAGCTCGAGAATCTCAGAGGCACCAGAAACACTAGCGTGATGTGGATCCAGATGCATACATTCGGATAGAGGAGGTAGAGGTGGCACGTAAAGGCAAGCTGGATGTGCAGAAGATGCTGCACAAATATCTTGACTTTCGCGCTGGGGATCCTAAACACGCTTCCAGGCCATCCAAGTCAAAAAGGGGCCCTACATGCACGCTCAAGGGTTATGCAGATTCAAATCCACACCTAGGGACTGATTCAGGGACTTCCCAGGGTAACTCAACCTTTGCTCAGGTTGAAGCAGCGGCTACTCAGACTAGCAGCTGTCGCTAAACAGGTCGCAGTAGACAATACTACAGACCTCAGTAGGTAGCATTTGAGTAATGCGTTGCGTATTGATGGAGAGCCTAGCTTGCTTGCCGATTACGTACTTGCATACTTGTAACCTATTTGGATGCGGACGAGACCTGTGGATGGAATTGCCTCTTTCAAGATCGAACAAGTGGCGTATTGTAAGTCTAGTATAGTCAGTGGAACATGCTTGGTCCGAGCAGCTCTATCTAGTGGCTCTTAGCTGCCTCCGTAGGCTCCGTATGAAGCGAGCAGGGAGCTCAGCCGTCGAAAAGGCGCGTCTCTACGGTTGGTACAACGCAAATTCTCTATGAAATGTAAGAGTACTACATTAGATCCCTGATATCTCTATGAAGAGTAGATCGGTCACCTTGGACTTCGCAATCAGGTTCGTGATTGGTGTAGGCCAGCTGCAGGTTCCCGAACAAACTTTTATCACACCTGAGCGTGTTCTAAACTAGACGCCCTCGCTCCATTACGATTGTGAGTATACGATATGCGATAGTTGCAGATTCTGGCCGGTGCACTTTGCTCGCCTTTTACTTCATCTCTCTCAAGCCATATCTCGACCATCTCCCATCTGCATCATCGATCTGGAACATGTCTCATTGCCCTCTGTGTTTTACTTCACAAGAAGCCAAATAACCGCTTCGTTTGCTAGGAGGGACAATCTTGTGGTCCCAACCCAAAAGTATTTGACGTGGTCTCACTCTTGTCAAGCGCAAGTCTCGAATCACGAGCGGAGTCCAAACCAGCAAGCAAATCCCAGCTTTGAGGACGTATTAAAGGCGTTATCTACTTATGACAGTATCTCTGATCGAAGCTCGAAGTTGAATTACGCGTATCGCGGGCGTTGAACACGTAGGAATCGCGCCGGAAGCTGCTCCCGAGGTCTGCTCAGGTGAGTTGCACCGCCAGCGCGGACCCGTCACTTCACCACCGCTCCAACCCTAGCTTCACCACCATTCTACGCCTCGCTGGCCACACTCATTACTAATAGTCAATTCATGGAGTCCTGCTAGTCGCATCACGTCCCAGACCAGGGTGACAGCACAGGAACAGGGTGCCACGATGTCGTTCAGAGCGCATCGCCATGGAGACGTGCCGGGTAAGCACTCGCTCGGCAGCCAAGCAAAGGCTCATCTTCTCGTGTCTAATCTGGGCTAGGAGCCACTTATGAGACAAACAATCCGTTCGAAACGTTGATAGACGTTGAAGACGATGCGATCCTCCAAGGTGAGCAGCCATAGCCTCCCTGCCGCAGAGCGCTGGGCTCCTCCGCCATGCGCGCTCTGTTTGTACATCCCTATATTCCCTAGTCATGGCTGACGCGGTCTTCGTAGAAGTCAACGAAACACTGAAGGAGCCATTCCCTATCCCAAATGCCGCTGCCCATCCCCAACAGCCTCCTGAGCCGCAATCCTCCACTTGGGTTACCCCAACGAATACCACCCACCAGATCCGGAGGTACATGGATGCAGTCAAGGAGCAAGTGAGTGGAGGCTCGTGGCTATCAATGCCAGAGCTACCGACATCATCGGAAGTTATGGAGAATAGCGACAAGTGTGATCTTGCAAACAAGATTGAAGGGGCACATAACTCGAACGAAAAGTATCTGAGTTCACATTACGAGTTGCAGAGAGAGGACGCCATTAGACCGCTCCGACACGCTGTGCAGGACGTGAAAGGGCGACCTTCGTTGCAAGAGGCGGAGTACTCTGGAGGAGTAGGCATCTATTCAAATGTGAGTGCAAAGGCTACCCAAGCATCTTGAAAAGTCACTCATCCTGATCAGGTCTACATCTCCGCCTGTGTATTCTCCCCACGAGGTCTGGCGGTGCGAGTCAGTTTTTCGCTCTCTCGCATTGGAAAGCGAATCCGGTGGGAACAATCGAAACGTCTGATCACCGGCACGCTGGTTGCACTCACACCAGCCGACGATATGTTTAAGACCACGTGCATCCTTGCCACGGTTGCCGCTAGACCTCTCGCTGCTCTGGAGCAAAACCCGCCTGAGATTGATTTGTTCTTCGCAAGCCCTATGGACCTCGAACTCGACCCAACCAGGCCTTACTGCATGGTAGAGGATCGGAGCAGCTTCTTTGAGGCTAGTCGACATACCATGCTAGCTCTCCAAAAGCTCATGCGGGAGCCGTTCCCGCTGTCGGAGTATCTCGTAGGCGTTAAACCAGATGTGGAGCCTCCACTCTATGTTCTGAACAAACCACATACCGATCTCAGCTCGATCGTCGCCATCGAGGATTCAGCATCTTACGAGAATGTCAATATTCTGGAAGAATGGCCGGATACGTCTACCACTGGGCTTGACAAATCCCAGTCCGTAGCTCTCAGGCGCATACTTACCAAGCGCCTTGCAATCGTTCAAGGACCACCAGGTACTGGAAAGACCTACGTCTCGGTGATCGCTCTCAAGGCCCTAATAGCGAATTGGCGGCCTGGAGATCCTCCAATTATTCTTACTTGCCAAACTAACCACGCTTTGGATCAGCTTTTACGGCACATTCACCAATTTGCACCAGAATTCATCAGACTTGGAGGGCGATCCAAAGATGAGGATATCATCAAGAAGCGCACTCTTTTCGAAGTCCGAATGTTGTCTCCACCCAACAAGACCCGTTACAAAGGTCCAGCCATAAAGGGACTGAAAGACATGACAAAGCGTATGCAAGTCTTGCTGTCACCGCTTGAAGCTAACAAAGGTCCTATCGATCATCGTCTTCTGGCAACGCTGCACATCATCGACAAAGATCAGGCAGCGTCGTTAGAAGTCGGTATCGATGGCATGGAAGGTCTTCCTCAAGACTCTCCTACTGTTCCAATGGAAATGTGGATGGGCCATAATCTCAAACGTGTGGCACGGAACCAAGAGCAAGACTACTTCGAATACGAATATGAGGACATAGATCTGGACTTCGAGGAATTGCAAGAACTGGAAGCTGAGGCCTTCAACAGGGACGACGATGATCTAGAAACCCTGAGAGGCCCGGTAGTCCTTCTTGGAGACAACTATACCGGAGCACGGAATGATCACATATCAGATGAAAAGATTCTCAGCCTTCTCGCCAAAACTAAAGATCTGTACAGGATCCCTTCGAAGCTGAGAGGTTCAGTGTACTGCTACTTCCAGAAGCAGGTGAAAGAACTCATTTTGGCGGAATTCCGCAATCTTGCAATACGTTATGATTACTATGTCCAGCAACGACGTATCAATCTGTGGGAGAATGATAACCTGATTCTGAAAGAGCAAAAGATCATTGGTATGACGACCACAGGACTGAGCAAGTACCGCGCCTTGGTTGAGAGTTTAAATCCACGTATCATCCTCGTTGAGGAAGCCGCCGAAACTCTCGAGGCTCCGATCATTGCAGCCTGTCTTCCTTCTTTGGAACACCTGATCCTTGTCGGCGATCACCAGCAGCTGCGACCTCACACTCAAGTCAGAGAGCTGGAGGGAGGCGATGTCAATTTCGATATGTCACTTTTTGAACGAATGGTCCACAACGAAGTCGAGTACGATAGCTTGCAGCGGCAACGCCGTATGATCCCTGAGATTCGCCGACTTCTCAGACCCATATATGGCAAACTCATTTCCGATCACAAGACTGTCCTCGATCCAAAGAACCGCCCCCCAATTCCAGGTATGGGAGGGTGTAATAGTTTCTTCTTCACCCATGACTGGCCAGAGACTCATGACGCCAACATGTCTGCCTGCAATCCACACGAAGCGGACATGCTTGTTGGCTTGGTAGATTACCTGGTCCTCAATGGCGTCAAAGTTGAAGAAATTACCATTTTGACTTTCTACAACGGCCAGAGGAAACTCATTCTCAGGCGTCTTATGGCCCATCCAAATCTTACCAGTCGCCGTTCGTCCTTCAAGGTTGTCACCGTCGACAGCTACCAAGGCGAAGAAAACGATATCGTTCTCCTGTCTCTTGTTCGAAGCAATGACAAGCACAGCATTGGATTCTTGAACGTGAATAATCGTGTCTGCGTGGCCCTTTCCCGAGCGAAACGCGGCTTCTATCTCTTCGGGAACGGCCTACTCCTCTGTCAAGAGAGCAAGACTTGGGCTGAAATCGTGGAGATCATGTACGGAAAGAAAGGCGACAAACCAAAGACCGGAGCTGTGAGGCGAGTAGGATTCCACATTCCTTTGGAATGCACGAACCATAGCCGCAAGACTTGGATCGAAGAGCCTGGTGATTGGGAATCGGTCAACGGTGGCTGTGAGCAGAAATGCCGCTGCAAACTTCCCTGTGGGCATACCTGCATGCTCATGTGTCATCCGTTCGATGCTTCTGACATCAATTGTACCCAGAAGTGCCTGAAGGTGGTCGAAACCTGCGGGCACCCTTGCTCCGAGATATGTGTGGACCATTGCCGCTGCGCTATGTGCGAGAAAGCGACAAAAGGTGCGAGATCACTGCTCCGGCAAGCGCCTCTGGACTCCGTCAATGGAGTTAGGCAAACCTTTCACACGCGTGACTTTTCCGGCGGATCTGATCCGGCCGCTTGGACTAACTACGCCAAAGGAGGCGTCAAAGAATCCGATGCCGTAGACGTCGCTCGTGCGAAGGAGGCGAAGGAGGAGAGTCTCCGCCAGGCTGAGGCTGAGGCGCAGGATTATCGTCAGAGCATCAAGGCTCTTACTGAAGAGAACGCCATGACTCTGCTCGCCGATGGAAATGATGTACCTTCACTAACGTCAGAACCCACAATGGCTTCGGCACCAGCACCGACAACGATTTCGGCACTAGCTCCGCCTACGACACCTCCTGCCCAGCCATCTGCAGCAGGACAGCAGCAGGGTCTCCTACTCATGACGCCTCCTACATCGGCAACTCCTGAACAGCGTCAGCGTCGCAAGGAGGGCCTCTTGATCGATGTCGACTCGCCGCCGCCACGCCGTATCCACTACAGGGAGACTTTTGACTACTCGCCCTTTTCGAGGTCGAGCAAAGCGCCCGAGCGGAGCCTGCTTGACGATTGAGTTGGCCTGGTCGTCGGAGGTGTGAGGCAGTATGGTACAGAATGTTGCCTGGGGATAGAGCATTGCAATTACTTGCTCTGGCTCGTGATGTCTGGCTACTCCTGCACGACGATCTTATTGGCATGCTGCCATCCGTCAATATTTCACTTCTTCCATTCACTTCTTCTCTACTACTACCCCTATACTCTTGCTTCTACACACTCTTTTTCCTTTTCGCTTCGGGTAGCAGCTTTCTACGTGCTTTCGGTTTCACGGTCAGGATTATAAGCCTATGCAGGGGACTTCAAAACTGCGGCATGCAGCGGGGTTTTGGTATACGGAGACTATGCGTCGGGCTTTAACCTCGAAAATGGTGCTGTAGAAGCTGACATTGAACGGGGATATGACGGCCTGCTTTCCCTTTTCCTTTTCTATGGATCTGGGCGGGTTTTTGGAATGGATAACTAGATAGTTGGAATGGGAGGTTTTCTTTCTTCATTGAGCCTACCGTGCCGTGACACCCTATCGTCGTGTGAGACCCTTCGACCCATCTTCGAGAGTCTGAGATCAGTGTGAGCTCGCAGTTTTGGGGAATCGGTAAGCGCACTGGGCCACCGCAGACCATGGGATGAGTATACAGTGATAGTCATGTGATTCACGTGCACGCTTAGGTAAGTGGCCAAAATCTTTTGTTCGGGCGGGTATAACAGCTGATATTGGAGCAGAGGTAGAGGACATAGTAGAGTGTTAGGAGAGGGAGGGGAGATCAAACACTGACGGATGAATACATGATGGTCTAATCAAAGTGTCAGATCTCCGTCCTCATGGAGAGTGGAGGGTTGGCGGTTGGGGTATCAAAACGGTTCTGCGACTGGTGCATTGAGCGGGAGTAGTTGGACTCGGGGGGCCAGTGATGGCGAAGTGCAGTATCTTAGAGGAATACTAGGTTTCATATCGCTACACGGATGCTAAACGGCGGCATTCAATATCTCTCCGATAAGCAGCAAAAAACAAAGGAAAGCCTACTCATCACCCCCCTTTTTGCTACGTAAACACCCGCCATTTTGCTACACATCAACCCCCCCTAGATTTAGCCTAGCTCCGGCCCGTATTAATATTGTTTCACCAATCATGCTCACTTGCTCGCAGCTTATGCAAAGAATCACATGACTCCTAGAAGCGGAAAGCGCCTAGATAGCCACCTCTTAATTGCTGATTGAAAGGAACGCCGTATACACCATTATACCAAGGTTTCACACCCGAATATCCTCATGCTGCACCGGTTCCTTCACTACGAACAGCCTCCTTAGGAGTAGACAGAGGGCCATCATTAAGGGCCAGTTGACTGTTGGGGACTAAGGAAATAGAGCCCTTGGTCACTGTTAGGGTGCCGGCTTATCTGGCGGAGAGATCCGGTGCTGTATTGGTGAATTAAAACCCGTAATTAAACAATAGTATTGCCTAAGCGACAGTCTAATTGGTGGAACAAAGTTATTACGAGCCGGAGCTAGGCTAAATCTAGGGGGAGGGGGGGGGGGGATATGTAGCAAAATGGGGGGGGGATGAGTAGGCTCGTCCAAAACAAATACGTCTGCCCTCTCTCAAACTCCAACTGCAACCACATCGATCGAGTCTTGTACCTGTTTGATCAGAAGATCTCCAACTCCAACACCATTCACTTTTCTACTCTTGAATTTTGATCCAAATGCTCTTTGCCCCAAACATTGAGGTCTGGTTGAGGTTATTTTACCAGACCGCAGCATACTCCCGACCACATCAGACACTCTTGAGGTCGTATCCGATCCTCTCTAGTCCTCCTTCCATGAAGAAGAAAGAGGAGCCGCAGCCTGGCGGTCTTTTTTATATGCGGAAGAAGTTTGGAAGCACGAGGGCCCCGTGATCGGAGAGCGGAGGTGCTGCCAGCAGATCATGCATAGGGGCAGCACATGATGCACGTGAGAAAGAGAGAGCGCGTGGTTCAAGGGAAGAGATCACGGGTCAGTGGAGGAGCTTCCCAGAGCCGCTGCGATAGGAGATTTAGTGAGGAGGAAGAATACGAGGAGCACGTGAAGCACGTGAGACCTGAAATCCTGCGTGGGTTGGGGTATAAAAAATCGACTTGCCGGCGAACGAGGGTTTGAAGTCAAGGAAGGGGAAGAGGTGGGAGGAGATCAAAATTCATGAGCTTGTTCATGATGGTCTGGTCAACGCGGAGAATTGAAGAGTTCTATGGGAAGTGCAGAGCTGGTTGTTGAGTGATCAAATCCGCAAAGATCACCATCAATGGCTCGGGGAGACTGGACTGGGTGCTATGCGAATGAGGGTTGATGATTATGAGCTGCAGTGAGTGGCTCTGAGCGATGTCGACCCGGAGGTGTAGTAATAACGACCACCACCTTATTCTTTCGCTAACATTCTTCAACATAATGGAGATGGCATCATCCAAACCCCACAGCAACCCTCAGCATCATAGTCCCTAAGGAACGCCGTAGACTCTCCCACCAATCCGACCAAGTTCCCCCACCATTAGGCATTTTGGCGCGAAGTTTTGAAGACCCGAACCGCATTGTGAGTCGATATCACCAAGTTTTTGCCCATCCGCTCTCTCCATCAAATACCTGGTCTCGATGTTTCAATACACCCGACAAGCTCCCTCCTTGACCACCTACCTCCCCTCAATCCTCCCTCTTATACAAAAGAAAAGCAGCACCCACGTGACAAAGCACCCACCACTCAATCACGCCCACTCCCTCCATCCTGCAGTGCTCCCATCTCACGTGAAACAGATAACCACACGTGACCATACCCTGGCAGTTTGTCTGGCGGGTATAAAGCCTCCGCCTCTCGCTCCTCAACTTTCGTTCTACAGGGCGAGATGAAGGATGGAAGGGAGCAAACGGCAGATTAGAGGCGATCCATGGAGAGCGGTCTGGAGGGAGCGAAAAAGTCTACCGCTACGCGCTACGTGGAGGAGGGGATTTGGAGAGCAAAACGCACAGCCGAATCCCCTCATGGTGGAAGTTTGACTGGAGGAGGCAACACCACTCGCCGCTCAGCACCATATGGAGAGGATTGTGGAGCAAAACAGATGATATAGACCGATGATGGTGGAAGTTCGGTGGGAGAGAGCAAAGAAGACCTCGACGTCTCCTCATGGAGAGGGGGATGGTGGAGTAAAACCTACTACATCATCCCGTCATGGTGGAATGTAAACCGTTAGAGGCTGAGCTGAATGGAGCGGGATCTGGTGGGATTCCAAGAAGTAACAGTAATGGCAGTCGTTAGGCGGTGCCGGGAAAGCTCAACAAATCTGCATAATGGCAGAGAGCGGTCCTACAGATTGATGATACCAGATAGCGAGTGAAGGACTCTATAAAAACTAGCAGAAATAAGAGTCAGTGCTCCGAATATATACTGGCTACTAGCATTATCCCTCGTGTATCTAGACTTATAGGTAGGAGGAGCAAGAGGCAGTGCAAACCGCTAATAGAAAATGATGAAGTGCATGGAAATACTTAGCAAACAGCCAGGAAACAGCCCTCCATCGATGACTCTTCGCGTTGTGTTTAATCACTGTTTTACTTCTCCCCTTCCCTCACCTCTCCTTCTCGTACCCATCCTTACCTCCCTCCTCGCTCACGTTTTATACTCCCCCCTCCCCAATACAACACATCACTCACGTGCCACACGTGCCCTTCGCTTCTCTCCCGTGACCTCTCCCGTGATCTCTCTCACGCCCACCTCCGCGCCCCTCCCCTCAACCAATCACCCACCCCTGCGCCACCGTTGCCAAGCCCCTCGACACACACCCAGAGCAATCGGCCGCCTGCCACGATCTTGACAGTTAACGAGCGGCCGTGCGGTGCGCTAGCCATTGCAAACGGGGGTGGCGGGCAGGGTGGTGTGACATCCCCATCCCCAAGAACCGCCCCTCCCTTTCTTCTTCGACACGTCCAAATCTGACTTGTCTCCGTCTCCGTCTCTTCAGCGAGCGGATAGCCACGGATAAGGTGCGATTCGTTGCGTTCTTATTTCATTTCCATCGAGTCCTTGGCTCTCGTTCGGAGATGGGGAGGCCCAGCCAATCCAGTCTTCCTGCACAACGCCCCCTCATCCCAGCACCCAGCATCCAGCTCCACAGAAATGCAACCCAATAGACTAGGAAAAGAAAGTGGTCCCATTCCGCTATGTACAATCAATCACCTGCCCGATTCATGCACCACCCATCCTTCTTGAGGATTAATTCGCAATTCGGAGAGAGTAGTGACTGTGGAGCACTCAATAATTTGAAATGTCGTCTTGGGATCGAACCATTGCATTTGCAGGGTCGGGTCTCACACCACCATCAGACGACCTAAGCTCCGCAGAGCATGGTGAATGTGATAAGCTGCAGTCTCCGCCCCCAAATTCATGCCAGACACACCCTCTGGCTCAGATCTATGCATTGGGGGGAGCGCATCTCGACACCTCACAAGCGCATACACGTGTGCAATTGGATTGGAAGTAAGTTTTTCTATGTATGTAGACTTAAATTTCTACCATAAATGTAAGTATGTGAGGTATGTTTCCCATCCCAATACCATACTTTCCTTTCCTCCCTCCTCACGCTTCAGCCTGCACTCGCATCGAAGAGGACAAACATTACAGTTTTTCTCGCAACCCGAATTGCATACTCCTCGAAGTGTCCAGCGCTTCTCTCGCCAGCCAATCCACACTCATCTAGCAAGAAAAAACAAACCATACTTTTTATCGTGTTTAAGCATCGTAAATCACAGAAAACAGAACATATAGTGCTGTATATCCGCATTCCATATCCGCAGTCAAGAAAGAAAGATTTAGCACAGAACACGGGATATCTCGCACTTGAAAAAACACACGCAAGAAAGAAAAGACATGAAGCATAAGAGAAGAGAATCTAGGACGGCCTAGAAGCCATCCAAAATGGTATCACACCTATAAATGCCGCACCTTGCGGCTCCGAATTGATCGAAGCAGAGAAGCAGGACAAGACAAGATGAAATGAAGCACGAAAGACAGTCAAGACCATCCCCGTCTCATGCCATGCAGGTCCCGCGCCCGCACACTGATGTTTCAGCATGCCAGCGGCCCACACCAAAAAGCGCCTAGCCGTACCAGGGATGCCCGAAGAAAGATACAGAGGAAAATGGGGTGAGCGATCAGCATCCTCCAAAACCCGTCCGTGACAGATGGGGAAAGAGGTCCCGCTAGCCAGGGTGCCATGCTCGTCGCTTCGGATGCGAACATGCAGGTTCATCCGGAGCGTTCGTGCGTTTCGAGCGAGATTTCGGGTTCCGCGCTCCGACTGCTGAGTCGAGCGCGGGTTGAAACTAGGATTGTGAGATTCTTAAGGAGACGACTCGCGCCCTCGACCTCTCTTGCTGCGCTCCATCCACCGCCGCTTCCCAACCCGCGTCTCGAAGTGCGGGGCAACGTCGGTAACGTCTTTGCCTGCTGCGACCATGGTGCTGCGCATCTTGTTGCGGTAGGCGTCCACTGGAGAGGTAAGTCAGCTTCGAGACCCTGACTGCGGCGTGTGCGATGGTTACTTACGAGATTTTTGCAGGAAGAGTGTCCGGTTAGCGAACACCCGGCTCTGGCTCCAGCTCATTCGATAGCCCAAGTCATTGAGCGTAATCTCCTTGCGTCGCTTTTGCCTCGTCATCCGCGGTTTTGGGACTCTCGCTTCCGTCCCGTCGAGCATTGGGACTGGAACAAGCGTGGAACCCGAAACTGGCGGAGCGCCCTCCTCATTCGGCTCGATTTCGTCGTTGAACACTCGGCTCCCACGGGGAGAAGTGGGCGGAGAGGTCATCTGCATGGGGAAATACGATCGGGGAAATACCGAGTTCTTCTCGCGGTAGGAATCTGGCATCTCTTCCATCTGAACTTGGTCGAGCATGACTCGGACGCGCACTCGCGTTCCTCGCTGCGCATCATCCACAAGGATGAATTTGCGACGCTTAGAATCTGGTAGATCTCCAAACAACGCAATATTGCGCTCTTCCTCCTCTTGCTTAGTTACTGGCGCGGCCGTCGCATGGGACGGGGCGCGGCCGCTGGAATGCCCCATTCCATCGTGGATCGGCGGCATGGTTGATTCGCCCACCGATGAGCTCGTAGGGAACGACGGATAAAAGTTCTGCGTTTGCCGGACGTCGTGTGGCGAAGACTGGCCGTTCGGGGCTTGGTGGTGGTGAGTGTGCGATTCAGGATACTCATTATCGGCTACATAAGACAAAGGAAATTAGCTCTCACATTTCAAACTCAATCCTCTGGTGCATAATATGTGTGGTGTGGGGAAAGTGTTACATCAAGGAGTGTAATGTACATGCGATACAGAACGACAGGATGGCTCTCAATTCAATATCCGTCAAGTATGCTTATTGCACGTATTGTCACATCTGGTGAAACATACCGCTAACGTCATCTTGCCCTCCAGGCCCACCGCCTGGATGTTCATGGTGGTGGTGCAACTGCGGCCCTCCCATGCTCATGCTAGGCTGCCTTGGTCCTGGAGCGGCCAAGCCTGCCGAATTCGGACCCCCTGCAGACCCCGGCACAGGACCTGCCATGTGATTATGGGGCTGCGGCTGCTGAACGGCCTTCCTATTGCTGATCTTGGCCATTCTCCGAACCCGCCTACTCCTTAGGCGTGGATCTTGGTTGCTGTTGCGCCAGCTGTCTACGGCGCGCTGGATAAGGCCGCGCTTCCCTCTTAGGCACGGGTTGAGCTGGGCGAGCGCCCATCCCACGGTGTTGCACTCGGTCTCGTAATGAAGTCGGTTGCCCTTGTACTGGTCCTTGTGGCAGCACGCGCGGGGGTATACGCAGTTCTCGGTTTTGAACTCCTGGGCGAGCTCGTCGACGTTGATGGACTCGACATCGCACCGAATCGTGTACTCCATCTTGACGCGGTCTCGGGAGTACTCAAACGCAATCCATTGGACGCCGTTCTGGTCTTGTCGTACGACCAAAGGAGTGGTTGCTGGAATGGGGCCGGGAGCTGCGTTGGGGTTGACGTTGGAGCCCGGAGCACCGGGATGCATGTTCGGAGGTCCAACTGGAGGTCCTTGAGGTGCGGCTTGAGGCGGTCCCAGTCCTGATCCTGGTCGTTGAAGCGGAGCTTGGGACATTCGCGACTTCGGGCTGCCCAATCCAGGCGTGTGCGGGTGCGAGCCTTGGTGCTGCATTGGCTGGCCTTGCTGATGGGACATCAAAAGCGAGTTGGTGGCCATCGGCTGGTGCTGCTGGGACGACGGGTGCTGGGCGTAGGGCGATTGCTGTGCTACTGGGTACGGCGTGTAGTACATGCCCTGTGGTGGCATCTGGCTCGTCGGCTGCCCGTAGAGAGGTCGTCCATGCTGGTCGTGCTGCGGTGACTGCACTGACGCTGGCGAGTTTGACTGCGGCGTGTGGTAGATGGGTGGGAATGTGCGGTTCATGGTAGCGGTTGCCATGAGGTCTGGGTTCTCTGCAGATCCAGTCAGAAATCAATACAGCTCGGGGCCCGCCGTTTCGACAGGGCGAGGTTCCCACGACGCGTCTTCTTGCAGAACATCCACAAAACAACAGAACCGCTGCCACAACAGAAGCACTGCGAGACAAACGCGTCAGAGGAAAAGAGCTTTGAAACTGACCTGAGGACGTGTAGCTTCCGGAAGCACTGTTCGTGCTGTACGGACTCGGGTGGGCAGGGTAGTAGGGGACTTCCTGCTGCTGGCCTGGCGGACCTGGGATCGGATTTCCGTACGGCGACTGGTGCTGCTGCGGAATCGATGGATTGGATGGGTGTGGCGACGCGTACGGTCCTTGAGCCGGCGACTGCGCGGGTTGAGACTGGTGAGGAGAGTCAGGATGATGCTGCTGGACGACGCCCGCGCGCGGATGTTGGAGATGCTGTGGCGGTGGGAGGCCCTGCGCTGAGGGGTGGGGGTGATGCTAGCGCACGACACGTTAGCCACGACGTCCCTACAGTGGATGAGTAATGAGCAGGGGAGTGGTGTGGTGTTGCAAAACAAAAGCCCTCGCGCACATCCACGTCCTGGCAAGAGAGCAGTAGTACCTGGGCGAGATCGGAGCAGACAGATCAGACCAAGGGTGGGAGACTGGACAAGGAGAATAGACAGGCAGAAGAGACGGCAAACAAATGCAGGGTTTTTGAGAGGATGGAAGCAAGTGGGTGATGGTTGGATGGGTGGCGGGGGTGAGGGGCATATGAGGGCGGTGTCTTCAGAGATGCGCACTAGGCCAACCGCGTTCGGACAGCTCTGGACCAGGGTGCGTGCAAGGCGGCGGTGACAGAAGGAGACATAGAAAGACCACGCAGTGCGGAGGAGTGCTCAGACGGCGACAGCAGCGCGCGCTGGTGAGTGGTCCGGGCAGGACGCACAGCGGAGGGCTGGGACGAGGCTCCAGGGTTCCGCTGCTGGCCTCGGGCGCACTGCTTGGACATGACAGGGGGGTGCTGGTGCAGGAGAGGCCATCGCAGGACAGGTGCAAGACGAGAGGGTGCAGGCTGGGGGGGTGAGGGTTGAGGCCGCTGCTTGGCGAGAAGGGCCTACCATGTAGCCAGTGCAGCACTGGAGCTGGGGGTTGGGGGATAGCTCGGGATGCGGCGTCGTTGCAGCGCGGATGTGCAGCAGAGGGCTGATGCATGCAATGGGCAAAGCCAACGGTCGGAGGGAGGGTGCGCGAGTGGTGGAGGTTGAGGAGCAGGGAGGCACTCACCAGCTGGGCCGCCACAGGAGCCGGCTCTTCCTTATACTTGCGGGGGCTGCCTGCCCTATCTCGCGACGACGCATGCGACATTGTTATTATTGCTGCTGGAGGTCTGGGGGGAGTCAGTGTGAGTTGGGCGCGAGGGCAGGCCGTGCAGGCTAACAACGGCCGTCTGTGCAGTGCCGCGCTAGCTGCGTAATTTCAGCACACCACCGCCTCCAGGGTGGGCCCCGGGCTGCGTGGAAAAGAGAAACGCCCTAACGTGCCGAGTCCAGCCACCGGCTTGGGCGGAGCGCTGGGGCAGGTGCACGGCGAGGATACGGCTGTGTGAGTGGCCGAGGGCGCTGCAGCAGCGGGACGACTGCCTGTTGCGAGCTCCGGCGCCGCGGCTGTTGAGCGCGGATAAGGCCCTGTGCAACGGCCGCTGTCCGCAACGGGCTGGCGGGAGGGCGTGGTTGTGCCGGGGGGACGGCCGGGGCGAGCGCTGGGATGCGCGCACGAGTTCGGGGTGGCAGAGGAGCGCTGGTTTGCCGGCGGGTCGCTGGTGCTGCGAAGGTGCTGGGTTGTGTGCCGGGTATCGGCTAGGGCTTCGGCAGGGCGAGCTCTGATGGCGGCGATGGCCCGGGAGGCGGCCAGCCTGCGCGTGGGAGATGAGAGGACGGCGACAGGGGAGCTGCGCGGTGGAGCAGCGAGGACGAGAGATGGAGGCGATGGCCTGGTGGATGGGGCCAGGATGGACGACATGTCCTTGAGCGTCGCGTGCGCCGGCTGGCTTCCGGGATGCCAAGCCCGGCCGCGCGGCGCTAACCTCGGCGCTACCGCTTTCTTTAGCCCAAGACAGCCAGTATCTTACCACCGGGCCCCTTCCAGTGAAATGTAACGCCCGTATTATACCTCGCGCTCAACTGCTGCCCGCCACACCGCGGAACCCACTCCACCTCTGCCAATTTTATCCATTTATATCGGCGCAAACCACTGAACGCCTCCCGCCACCATTGACACGTTCGCGCTAGGGAGGCACATCCTCTCTCGCACCCTAAAATTGCAGAGCCCGCCGCGCTGGAATCACATCTTTCAAACGCGCCCGCGTCCCGAACGGTGCCGCCTCTGAGCCCGCAACCCACGATAATACTCCGCCGCGATATAGCCTAGGTTGCGCTCGCGGTGCCGTGTCTCAGATGCGACAGCTGCTCGGTTCCCTCGAGTCCTCGGCCTGCTGTCCTCGACGTCCTGCTAGCCCAGCGTCGACTCGGGGCAGACGCATCCTCCGAGTTGCTCCCATTGGCCTGCGGGCTGCTCGAAAATGCAAGTGATCAACGTCAATCAACGGCCACAGCGCGCGCCAGACGCCCCTAACCTGCTTGTGCCTGGCGGGCCCCATCCGCCCCATTCGACGCGGATCGACACAGCAGCACAGACGGAGCCTGTCCGACACGGCACGCAGGATGCGAGAAGGAAACATGGCGTCGACGGGCGAGCCCTGGGGATCTTCGCTCATTTCGCTCCCTGCGAGCCGTTGATCACGTCCAAGCCATCCGTCGCGCGCAGGCCTGTCAGAGATCGTGAACACTGCGAGGAAAGTTGCGGCGCTGCCACCACTCCTCGAGACGGCCGCAAGAATCATGCTCCGGAGCGTCTCAACGCTGCCTGAGTCGCTGCTGAGATTGGAGAGCAATGCTGACCTGGGAGGATGCCTGTGCGTCTTCATGCGATGGCGCGCAAGACGTTGGCCCTGCACGCCCAAGAGCCAACGGCGCGCCGGCAGATGCCACGGCGATGGCAAGGCGGGCTGAACTGGCCTCATGGCGCAGACGAAGGCCAATGTCGCCATCCAACTCTCTCCCCTTCGCGGTGCAGGAGAAATGAGGGTCGCGTTGACACGGGCGCCACAGCGAGAAAGAGTCCTTCAAGTAGCTTCGCCGCTGGCCCGCCGCGGGCCCGCCGCGGATGTCAGAATGGCCTGATGCTGAGCAGAAGGATGCGCTGCTACTGCATGGCGCCCACCCGGAGTGCCAGAATAGATTAAAGCTCTGGATTCGCCACTGAGGACAAATCGCAACGGAACTCTCCACCCGGCGTCGGTTCCGTCGCGCTGATAAACTCGCAAAAACCTGCTCAGCGTTGAAACGAGCCGCGTCACGAGCGTGTCAACTGTCGGCTTTTTCCAAGACTGAATAGGCTGACAGCGCTCGCCGGCTGGGTGGAAGATGCGACGTGAGGTCGAGGCTATAGCACATATAGCACATCCTGGTATAGCAAATGCTCCTAAATGGGCAGCCTGCGAATGCGGAGACACCCTGGGAGCGACTGGGAGTGACAGCTTGCCTAAAGAAGCACCGCTGCTGAGTTAACAAGGGCAATTACTCAGGTACCGAGGAAGGGTTAATGCCTGGTGCTGCAACAACAACTCTAATCCAACAACTGGAACGCCCTCAGGCACGACGTCGAGCTCGAGCGGCGCATCGCCATCGGCATCACAATCAGCAACACCTTCGGACGGCGTCGACAGCACGAGCAAACGATGGCGGCTAACCAAAGTCTCGCGAGCTCGACAGCTCAACTGGAGAATCCTTCGGGGTGCAACGGCATGCGATCGAGCGGATCGAAGGCTACCGAGGTGAGGACGACTGATAACAACTGTGAAGGTGTGCTGTGCCGGGACCCAGCGTTCAGAGACGACGGAGATTTCTCCCTTTCGCAACAGAGGCCGTCTCGAGCAGGACGAGCTGCACGAGATGCGGGCAGGCGCCTGGAGATCTCGTCCGAAAAGGCCGCTGCCCCGCGGACAGCCAAACGGACACTCATGCTTCGAGTCGCTGTCGCACGCCCAACGCGATAAAAGAACGGCGGCGTGCATCTGAAGTCGCTCAGACCAGCAGCGCGGCGGCGTGCAGCCGGCCACAAGTCAGCAGCGCGCTCGTGGTGCCCGAATGCAAAATTAGCCCGATAGGCTCGCGCCGTCATCATGTGCCAGTTCTACCACGTCAACGCTTCCGCTCAGTGACACAGCTTGCGGATCCAGAGAGCAGTAGCTAGAAGAGGGGGGTGCGTCGTGGAGAGTCGCCATCACATCAGCTACACTGCGGTGGCTAGTCTCTGCTGTCGCGGTGTTGATGTCTGAGACTCTGAGGGTGGGGTTGGCAATGCTCAACGTGCCCAGCCCGGCCGTTGAGCTTGTGCTGACGGGAGACATGGATGCGATGCCTGTCGCGCCGCCCGCTGTCCATGCCTGCCGACAACGGTGGGCGATCGGCCGTGAGGGTATGGGAGCACAGGCTCGTGGAGGCCCCAGGATATGCCGTTTCTTACCGTACCGATAGAAAACGGAGCGCCTCCGGCCTAGACCAGCAGGGGTCGTCTCCCAGGCTCGACTCTCAAGGTTCCCCCGACGGTATGTAAAGCCTGAAACAGCATTCACTCAACGCCTCGATATACCCTCATTCTGGCCCCAATCAGCATCTGCCGGCCACTCTATCCAACGCATGCTCTGCTATACTTAACTGCCGGAGACGTGGTTCCGGCGCGGTCTCCGCGAATACCAGGCTGAAGTAGAGATCAGCACCACATGCTCTCCGCCAGCAGCCCCCGTTTCCATCTGCGATGCAAGACCCTCGTCAGAACCACTCCGGATCCTCCCACGGGCTAGACAGCAAGGCCTCGACCGATTCTGCTGCTGCCTGTGGCCCGGAAATTTAAATTAAGGTTGCTGCCAGGCGGCGTCAAGCAGCAGCATGGGAAAGGGGCAGGCAGCCCGATTGTGGAGGACGCCAGCCAGCCTCCCCTCCCATGCTCGCGATCTCGTCAGACTTCCGCTGCCTGCCTTGCTTCCCGCGCTTCCTTGAGGGTGATGGCTCTGCTCCCGAGCAAGCCTGGCCAGCGCAGCAATCGAGCCAGGAGGCCTGGCGGTGTGGACAGGCAAGCCGGCCCCCGGCGGCGGAAACACACGAGATGGCTTTTGCCGGCGATCCGAGGCATCGCACGGCTCGACAAGGAGCGATCTGAGGAGGACTTTGTCGTTGCTTTGAAATGGACCTCTAACCGAGCTCTCGAAACTCAACGGCCATGCATAAGCGTGGTTCTGGCAAGACCGTCTCGCGCCATGATTTGCTGCCCGGCGCGTTTTCTGCTGGCGGCGCTGTCGCCATGGCCCTCCGGCCGTGCAAACCATGTCCTTAGCAGAGCGGCAGTGCCAGGACTGCCCTGCTTCCCGCTCATTCCTAGTCGGTGACCGGGGGCCCTGATCACTTTGTCTGACAGGCGGATGGTGGGGTTCTGGCAGCGGCATTGCTTTCATGGGCTGATATGTCTGCGTCCACTCCATGATGTCAGGAGAGCCGCGTGTCGTCGATTGGACTCGCTGGCGGGGGCCAGACTGCCGCTTGGACACGGCTGCTGTTGCTGAGATTTGTTAATGCATCCTTCAGGAGAAGAACTGTTTTGACCCAGACTGGCGGGTCGTCAGCGGTCCAGGACACGTATCGCTCGAGATGGCTTCGCAAACATGGCACAGGCGACCAGGCGAGATGCTGTGCCAGATAGAGCGAAGACTCCTAATTACCTCAGGCAACACGGCTGTGCAACCTCGCGTGGGACCTTGGAGGCCGCGAGAGGTTTCGAGCGCAGCATCAGAAGCGATCCTCTGCAGCAACGCGTTGGCCAATCAGCACGCGTATGGCACCATCCGAAGAGCATCGCTCACAGACTTGCATCAGTCACCGGAAAAGGCACCTTTGCGCCGTCTCTCCGCCCGTATCGCTCCGCTCTACACGAATCGCGCCCACAAAGCGGCTGACGTGGCACGCGAACTCGTCTGGCTGCGGTATGCGCAGCTTGGAAGATGGAGGCCTGACGGCATGGCGATCGACGCGCGACGTGCTGGACCGTTGTCACTCTCCGCATCTCCGCCCTGGTCCCGTGACTTGCGCGTGATTGTAGCGGGGATTGAGGTGAAGGAGGCCCAAGCCAAGCCAGCAGCCCTTTTCCGCCCGATGAACGCCTTAGTTTTCGGCAATTGTCGCTGGCGCCGGGACGATTTCCATGGTTTAAGGAAACGGTGCGCGGAGCGATTTCAACGAAAAGCCACTCATCAGCCCGCGACGCCTTGCAGCGCTTAGCCAGCCTTCGCAGACCCAGTGCGGATCGCGGCCGATGTGCTTCGAGGGCCCTCGCCGACCGAGTCTTGATGGCGGTTTCGAGGCTGCGAGCCCGTGACAGCCACACACATGTGCTGGCCGTGCTAGCCGTTGATCCAGCTTTCCCCACTTCTCCGAGGCCTTGCTCCTGGTGTGTGTCCCGGCGTGGTTGTTGGCGGTCCTGGCAGCTTCCGGCACCCCTGTTCCGACGAGCTCTCTCGAGGTCTCTCCTCTGCCACTGCGCATCGGGACTGTCACCGTTCTGATGTCTTACAGCGACGCCAGAGCAAACACAGACAAAGGTCGAGTCCGCATCCACAAACGGCCGAAACGCCGATTACGCCAGGCAATTTTGATTTCTGCGCATTTAGCTGACGTTGATGGGCGCTGCGGTGACACGCATCCGCTTCCTCCGAGAATAAAGTCCGCAGCGACCACTATTGCGCTGTATTACAGTAAGGCGAACATCACCACACCGGGTGCGACAGTGCTCTGGCGAGGTCTCAGCCTGCGTGAGTCGTTTGAGGGACGAGGACAGCAGGTGGATTGTGCAGCAGCCTCACCGTGGGGCCGTTCTCGTCGAGCTTCTAGCGCTTTTCTAGAAAAAGGGGCCTTCCCTTCACTGCGGTTTCAACCGCCAACTTTATATCGCCGACGAGTCACGTCTGTCGAAGCACTGTTGCACCATTGCAATGGGCGGCTCTCGCGGGCGGAGCATTGACGGATCACCAAACATCATAGTCCAATCTACTAACATCAACCGGACCAACTAACAATAGGATAGTCACGCAAACCTCCATCCACCCCACGCATCGGCCACCATAAACGCGTCCTCCAAATTGCCCAATCCGAGCCAGCATAGAAACGAAATAGTCGCCGGATCACGAGATGAGATGCGTCACGGCGTCCCACCGTGTCTTGTGTCCCACAACCTCGTTTGCCCGTCAACGCGGGCGTCTCCAACGCCGTAGCTGTGGATGCCGCAGCGAGGTGCGCGCCGGTAATGGAAGGGATGTCCACGCGCGTGCCATGCCGTCTCACATTCCGCAGCAGTTCCGTACGTACGTACCGCAGGATCACACAGGCACCGCTCCATTCGAACCGCCCTGGCATCCGGCACTCTCCTCGCTGGTAGCGACTCGAGAAGAGCCGGGTCGGGGGAGGGTAAGGCGTGGGCGAACGGACACGCGGGGTATCGTTTCTCCCGTGTCTTGTCCAGCGTTCCCTAACCACACGCGTACGTCTCGCGCCACTAGCTACCGTCGAGACGTACAAATAGCTGCTAGCGGCGCTGTGATTGGTCGTATTGTGTGTTCCATAACACTCGCCCTTTGCGTGCGGCGTGTGGCAAATAGAACGGCATCTCACGCTATGTCGAAAAGCGAAACATTGTGAGTGGTATGTATTTTGGGATAATGACAAATCTCCAAACGCCGAACACTGGCCACGGCAGGAAGTGGGTGCTTTTGTCAGCTGGACTGGACCTGCGCCTGGGCTGCTGGACGCGATGTAGGCGCTGTGGAAGGTGAGTTTGCTGTGTTTATGCGTCTGACTGTGGTACGATTTGGCGAATCCTTCGCGCGAGGCGGGCGGGTGGTGGGTTTCAGAAGGCTGCTTGCATCGCACGGCATAAGGTGGGGGCTGCGACTTGTTTTAGTCGTGGTATCCGGTGATGATGTGCGGGGTGAGCGAGCAGCATCACTTTCCTATTTCAGATTCGTGATGTGGGATAGGAGATCAAAAGATGAGTCTCGTAGTACTAAACAGGTAGGTCTAGTTGCCTTGTTCGGCTATGCTGCATTTACATTTCGAGATTCGTATATCAAATCTATCCACTCATGCACTATATGCCATGTCTTGGTCACTATCATGCGGATATCTGAACTACTATTCTCGTGTCTCTGCAAAAGACTACCATCACGCAGTCATCAGGTCTCTTTCTACGTCAACACCACATCAAACGCACCCGCGTCTTGACGATTTGCAGTCGCATGCTTCATGCTTACCACCATCCCTCTACCCCTTCCACCCAGACCCCTCCCCTATCTCTTCTCCAGCTCAGACTTCAAGCATCCTCCCGTAAAGCTCACCCCATCCCATTCCCCCGCTCGGCTACATACCCAAACCCAAAATATCACTCCCACACCAACTAACAACCCCGTATTTCCCAAAAACCAACTCGGTAGGCATCCCACCAAGCTAATCAGTCCTCTCCTCCTGGCGCGACAGATATCTCGCAAGACGGCCTCGCACCAGATATCGAAACCACTCGGTCTAAATCCTAGCTTCTTCTCCCACCTTCCTAACTCAGCCATCCCCACGCGTGCGGTCGTCGGAAATGGTATTCGGGGCGGTGGGCGGTCTTACGGAGCGCACATCCGCTACGGGGACGCCGAGGGTCGGTGGTTGGTGCAGCATTTCGCCGATCTGGACGGGTGTGCTGTTGACCACCGCGTTGAGAAGGTGCCTTTCCTGAAGCGGGGAATAGACAGCAAGTGGGAGCTTGAGTAAGTCCCGAGATGGGCACGCTGTCCCCGTGCCTGGGGCTTTCTTTTGGTATAAAAGATCGTAGGCGGAGGTGAGCCTAAGACAGGGAGGAGTTCAGCCGGCCACTATCGATATATGAGAGATGTCGACTCGATGGAGTGAGCGGTCGAGCAAAAAGGGTTATTGTCACCAGCCATATGAGTTTTGGACTTTCAAACCCAAAACCCGGATACGACATGGTTGGTTTGTTTGCGGAGAGGCAGCTTGGGAGGGTGTGAAAGCCGAATGCACAGCATCTGATGGTGCGCTGGGTTGATCTAGGTACGTTTAGTTGGTGGAGATTACCGAGACGACTCGTTGAGTGTAGTTGGGGGGTTTTGATGTCGACGTTGGATAGAAGACGCAGCTGGTGGTGTGCGCTGTCTTTTATAATCAATTCAAAAAGCGTAATTACCGAAATACGGTGATATTCGTCTCCTCAGAATGTTAATTTTGATTCTTATCTTCAGACAAATATCCTCCTAACTATCATCATTCGTATCCAAAACCTCCCGACTCCGCCAACACAAACACCCGCACCATTCGGATCCGAATCAAGCGGTGGTTTGATCTCCCACGCAATCCACGCCATGATGGGCCCCATGTAACTGATGTGCCCATGGAGGTAGAACGCTGGATCTTTTGCTCCCCCAAACGACACCACATTAGAAGACTCTTCGTGGAATTTTGCTCCCTCCAACCAGCCCATCACATCGATTGGTGGGACTCTGCCTTTTGCTTTCCCAAACAACGCCACATCATATGAAAGTTGGCGGTGATTTTGCTCCCTCCAACCAACCCGCCACATGGGATCACGTTCTCGAACTGTTGCTCCAGCCAAACAAAACCACATGATAGGAAAATGTCTAGGCTTTTACTCTCTTCCACCGAACCACCACATTTATGGTTGCTTCCCTGAATTTTGCTCCCCCGCCTCGACCGTTGAGGTCGACCTTGAAGAAAGGAAGTTGAAAAGTGGAAGGGGAGGTTTTATACCCGGTGGCAGAGCGGAAAGGAGGGGAGTCACGTGGAAGGGAGGAAGGTGGCAGCTGGCGTAAGAAGGGCAAAGGATCAGTGAGGAAAGCATGAGTTGTATTGAGGTGCTAACGAGTGGCTATATAGTGAAGAGAGACCAGGGGTTGCAGGCAGCAACGGTGACAAAACAACAGGTGAACCTTGTCCAGCCGAGAAGTGAACCCTGTACAGCTGAGACGCGTAGGCAGACGTGCGTAGGAGCATTCTAACTGGCTGCCAGATGAAGCGAGATGTGAGGGGGATAGGGGAGGTGGACGTGGGAGAGGGATATGCGGAGTAAGGTGAGCACGTGGTCGATTGCAAGTCACATTTTGCCTGCTTTCCTCCAGATATAAAGGAGAGGAGTGAGAGTGAGAGATTGTCTAGGGAGGAGGTTCCAATGATTGGTTTTCAAACCCAGAGTCGGAACAAGGAATGGAGGGAGTGGCTGAGCAAAATCAGAACTCCCGATATTCATGTGTGCAAGATTTTGAAAAACAACAGGACGAAGGAACTAGTCCTCAGACTGGTGCCATCATCCGTGAAAGAGGATGCTTAACATCGCCCCGTTAAGTTAACGAAGATCATCGTACTCGTTCGAACGCTACTTGTACCCCTATTCCGAAGATAGATGCTCAACCTCGTTCCTATATTCCAGTAAACGCTTTTTTCGGTGCGTTAATCTACCCACAACACCCAACCTTGTAAGAGTGTTGTGAAGATTGTTGATGCCACTCCACCCCAACTCAATTCATGGGCAATAACTACCCACGATATTGATATCCCGACCTCCGCAGTCCAGTCATGAGTTTGTTTAGAAGAGCGGTTTGAACCACCCCATCGCTAGGAAATCTGCGAGGTGTTGAAATCCCGATCTCCGCTGTCTAGCCATAGATTCTGTTCGACAGAAGTTTGAACCAATCCATCATTGGGAACTCTTCAATCTGTTGATACCCCGACCTCCTCAATCCAGCCATGTGTGTTTCTCTTGGCTTTTTCTTGAACGAACTCGTTGCGAACAAGTCCTCAAAGCGATGTTGATTTCCCGACCTCCACAGCCCAACCATGTGTTCTTGTTGTTGGTGAGATTGAACCAACTCATAGACAAGTTCCGCAAACTGTTGTTTCCCAGACCTCCCCAGCCCAACAGGTATTTCGAAGTCTGATTTTTTGAACCAAACCACCTCCCACGCATAGGAACCTTAGCTTTGGGGTGGTGACAGCACGCCCACTCCCACCAACCCATCACTGCTTCCCGTCGATATGTTGATATCCAGGCCAACCCAGCGCAGCCATCGTGAGCCAGTTTGTGGTATTTCAACCAAGCCTCGCTCCGAACCATTCAAAGCTCGCCAGGTGGAAGTTTGACACTCCCACTCCCACTCCCACCAACTCATAGGCTGATAATGTCTGGTTTGTTGATCTCCAGCCCCCACCCCAGCCACAAGATTGGCCAACAGGATGTTTTGAACCACCCACACGGCCCTATCCAGCCCCATCGGTGTTGCCTGGTAGCAGTTCTGCCAACACTCCGCTCCTCCACCCCAAGCCATCAGACCCTTACACCTCGGTACTTGATCCCAAACCTCCATCCACACAGCCATCGTACTCTATCCTCATCGATATTGAACCACCACACCGCCCACTCCCACCCAGCCATTCGGCAATGATCATTTGGGTTTGATTCCCTCTCCCACCCAATCCATTCCAGCTGAAGGCATAAGATTTTGATTCTCCCCTCCTCCTTCTTCCCTCCTTCTGTGTTTGCTCTGAAGAAGAAGAAAGCGAGACGGGGGGGGGGGGAGAAGTTTATATACCGCTTAGGCGCTAAGGCGCTTGGCGTTCACGGGGGGAAGCTCGTGACTGGAAAGAGGGGAGGTGGTGACATTGAAAGAGGGGAAGCGGCATGTGATGGGCGTGATGTGGATGGATGCGTTGTGGACGGATGCGTGACGTAGCAAGAGATTGTGCTGAAAGGAGACCGTGACGTGAACTTGGTTGGATGGTTGGATGGTTGGAGGAAGGATGACACTATCAACCATCTTATCAACCAATCCCAGAAACAATGAAAAAGGTCAGAAAAGCGAAAGGAATAAAGAATACGGAAGATTGAATAAGACCATGAGGCTATTAGTGCTCATACCACACAATATCACCCAAAGCACACACACACCTGCTAGAAACGAAGGGTATATTCTCGCAAACGCTAAGAGCAAGGTTTCCATACTACATACACATTCATTACCACCCTCCCTCCTCCCTCCCCGCCTCATCTACTTCGCCACTTCCCTTCCTCCAAAGCAGCAAAAAAAGCAGCACAACGCACGCACCCAGCAACCAGCAACCAGCAGCCCGGGGAATCAAAAGCACCACCTCGAAGCTCTCGAAAATACAAATACACTCTGGGGGGACCATAAACAGGAAGCAAGAGAAGGTGCAAGTAGCCGCGAACGACAAAGGATCGGAAAAAGGTGGGGGTCCAGCATGATACAGGTCGTTCGTTCTTCGTGCCTCGTGGCTTTCGTGTTGCATGATGTAATAGATCTGATGACTAGGGGGGAGAAAAGGTGTTGTGATGACCGAATCGAAAGAGAAAATCTCAATGCTCTGCCTCCGTGCGAAATGCAATCAGTCTGATGCCATATCAATTGCGTCTTCTCCTCTCGCACCCTCCCTCGTTCCTTTCTTCTAAATCGCTTAGACTCATCTACAACTCATCCTTGACTCGATCCGTCGCTTTCGTCGCCGCGCTCGAAACACTGCTCGCCGCCTCCCCAGCATAACTCGACGCACCACTCGCAGCGCCGCTAGCAGCACTATTGATGTTGCTGGCGAGTTCCTCAATCTTCGACTTGGCAGCCTCAACTTGCTCCGGGAGTCCGTTTTCGTACAAGTCGTTGATCTTGGCTTTGGCGCTCTCGATAGCAGCCGAGAGGCGTGATTGGGCACTCTCCACCGCGCCCTGCTCGGGTCCGTAAATAGCCTCACTGACCTTAGCCTTGGCAGCCTCGTAGCTCTCCCCAGCCGCGGAAGCAGCAGCAGCAGCGTTATCAGCGACAACAGAGGAAATGGAGCTGTACGCGCTCGCAGCGCCGCTAGTCACGGACTCAATGGTGCCGGTGGGTGTCCCGTAGATAGCGACGCTGATGGCGTTTTGAGCGCTCGACGCGACGTCAGCAAAGCTGGCTTGCGCGGCCTCGACGTAACTGGGCTGCGTGCCGTAGACTGCTTCGCTGGCGCGGGACTGGACGGAAGAGTAGGCGCTCGCAGCAGCTTCGGTGGCTTGCTCGATGGTGCCCTTCTCTGTGCCGTAGACTTGGACGGAGGCGGCTTCGACCGCGGCGTTGATCTGCTCGGTGGCGGATTCGAGGATGGCTTCGAGAGCAGCCGGAGGGGTGAAAACGGAGGTTACGATGGATGAAGCGGAGGCGTAGGCATTGGAGGCATACGATGAAGCTGCTTCATAATTCTCGCTGGCCAGGGAGCTGGCAGATGATGCGACTGCAGGGTATCCGGTGTAGTATGCGGAAGAAAACTTGATCATGACGCTCTCGGTGAAGTCCGGCTCTTTGCCAACGACGAGCTCGGAGATCAAAGCTTGTACGGCGGCATATTGCGAAGCAGCGGCATCGGTGGCCTGAGCTCCATATGCACCTGCTTGCGAAAAGACGGATTCGGAAAAGGGAGTAGGAGCACCATAGATCTGTTCACTGGCTTTGGAGATGAGAGCATCCCAGTTTTGACTGGCCTGGGCTGCGACTGATTCGGTCCAGGGAGTTTCGGTTCCAATGATACCAGAGCTGGCCTCGGATGCAATTGAGGCAGCCGACTCCGAAATAACAGAGCCAACAGACTCAAAGGTACCCTGTTGAGTGCCGTAGATGGCTTCACTGGCCTTGGACGAAGCTGCCGAGAAAGAAGCAGCTGCGGCTGACGTCGCAGCTACGAATTGAGATGAAGCGGAGTCAATAGCAGTGTGTGCTGGAGACTTGCCAGTCTTGCCAACGACAGAACTGGCAGCTCTGAGGACACCATCCAAGTTGGAAAAGGCGGCGGCAGTGGCAGCAGAGTATTGGCTTTGGGCCGCTGCAATTGCAGCTTCGTATGCTGGTATTGGTGTGCCGTAGATGGCTACACTAGCGTTGGACGAGGCTGCTGAAAGCGAAGCAGTAGCTGCAGATACAGCGGCGTCATATTGAGAAGAGGCAGAGTCTATGACACTCTGCGCTGGAGACTTGGTGGTCTTGCCAGCGACAGAGCTGGCAGCACTGAGGACGCCATCCAAGTTGGACGAGGCGGCGGCAACAGCAGCTGAGTATTGGCTTTGAGCCGCTGCAATTGCACCCTGGTATGCTGGTGTTGGTGTGCCATAGACTACACTTGAGGCAGCCTCCACAAATTCCGAGTAGCGAGCGTGGGCGAGGCCAATTCCTTCGTAGTAACGACGTTGAGCGTCGGCCAAGTATTTCTGCGATGCAGGAGTCGGCTCAGCACCCACAGCAACCTTAGCGCTGGTGTACTGTGCAGATGCGAGACTGAGGCCTTCCGAGAGTCTTGACGCGGCAACCGACGAAATGGATTCCATGGCGCCTTGTGTTGGGCCCGACGCATAGCTCTTGACTGTGTCAGTATACTGAAGAACAGCATGCCACCTCTCGCTCGCAGCAGACAATGACCCGGAGTACGCGTTCTCGATAGAAGAGAGCATTTCCTCGTGGACAGGTTTTGGCGTCCCTGAAACAATCTCCGAAAGTCGAGCTTTGGCAATGGAGTACTGGTCTTGAGCAACACTAACGGCGTTGGCGTATCGAGAGCTTGCCTCAGACTGAAGTGACGACAAGACTGGCGCAGGAGTTCCATATATGGCATACGAAGCACTGTATAACGATTAGCGCTAAGATCTTCAATCTTCGAACTGTTCCTGGCACTTACGCTGTGACGGCCTGAGCATATTTCTCCGCTGCGATGCTTGACACACTCTCGACTGCGCCTTGCTCAGTGCCATAGATTACGCTGGAGGCAGCGGCGAGCGCCTTTTCGTATTGCTCACCCGCCAAAGATGTGACTGATTCTACAGTACCTTGGGTAGGAGCAGGCTTGAGCAGAGCTTCACTAATCGCCCTCGTCAAATCAGCTGCGCGATCACCGGCTTCACTGACAGCGCTTTGAATCTTCTCAGAGTAGCTCGTGTCGTCCGAATCATCGATGATATCTTCGTAGACGATTTTCCTAGCTTCGACATGTTGAGCCATGGCGCCGCCCCAAACCTTCTTTGGTGCTTCGGAAGCGACAGACGCGGCAGGCTCGATACTGGAAGATGCTTGGGAAAGTGGTGGTGCCGGAGTGCCGATGATAGCCTCTTGGGCCTGGGCTTTCTTGAACTTTGCTGCCGAAACGACGCTCTCGCCAGCGGCAGAGGCACCACTGGCTACGGAAGCAGCAGCGGATGAGATAGAATCAGTAGCTTGCTCCGCCGCGTTAGCTTCAGTACCAATGACAGCCTCAGAAACTTTGGACGTGGCCGAGTCGAAGTTCTCTTTCACAACAGAAGCAATGCTCTCGGCGGCAGGTGTTTCGGAGTCAACGATGGCCTCGGACGCCTGAGATGCAGCCTCCTCGATATTCTCTTGGGCTTGTTGGGCAGCCTTGAAGACTCGCGCGGGGACTTTCTTGTTGCTAAAATCGTCGGTTGAGTCTTCAGCCCAAAGCTTCCATCTGGCGACTTCCTTGAGTCTGACAAGTTCCTTTGCTGTCTCCTCGGCAATTCCCATGGCCTTGTCTTCGACACTCATGCTTTCCTCATGGGCCTTGCGGAGACCCTCATGTCGTGAGCCGACTGCTTCAACCTCGTTGCGCCATTCTTCCAGGGTGTTCTTGAGCTCATGGTATTTCTGCCAGTTCTTGTAGGTCACACCGTCGGTCCATGCCCACCGCATACCGATCTCCTGTAAGCCGAGGTCTTGAATGTTGTCTAGAATCTTGACAGTTGATGCCGTCGCAGCTCTGACCAGGTTGTCTGTTTCCTGGTCGTAGTCCAATCTCCAGGTCCTCACTGCCTGAGCCTTCTCCTTAATAGTAGTGCCAGCGGTTCGCGTAGCTCCGAGGACCTGTTCGTAGAGAGATTCAAGCTGCTCCTCTGTCACGTCCTCAGGGATCGTCTTGACAAGCTTGTTGATAGTCGATTTGAGACTGCTGATGCTGCTTTTGGATATTTCTTCCAGCTGCACAAGCAACGCTCCGCCGACTGCATGGGCCTGGTTCTTGATTTGTTGCGCCGTGATGTCCTTGACGCGCTGTTCCAAGTCCTCAGAGCCCTTATCGGCAGCCACAGCGAATTTGTTCTGCCACGTTCGGAGGTCATTTGTGAGCTTCTCTTGGAGCTCCTCCTTTGTCAGTTTGGTCTCCGACGGCTTCGCAGATTCGCCTGCGGCGGCACTTCCAGTTTCCTGAGTAATAGTGGCAGCACTGGACAGTGATGCCGATGAGATCTTGGCTGAAAGGGACTCGAGAGCAGCCGATCTAGAGATGTTAGAATATTTCGGGTAAGCCAAAAAATTGGGGAACCTACACGTCTACGGAGTCGGCAGCAGCTTCCATTTTCTTTCCATCCTTGTACCTACCGAGCCTCTCACTAATTCGAAGGAGTTGAGGCTCAACGTTATCCCCGTAGAGTATTCTCATCTGCGGCCATAGTGTCCGAGAGAGGAAGGCGAACGAAGATTCCTTGGCGAATCGTACGTACGGGAAAACGATGTGAGTGGTAATGTGGTGGCCCTGAGCGTATCCCTTCTGCGCATATGGTACAGCAGCTAGATAAGCCGGAAGGACAACGCTTTGGTATTTCTCTAGAACAGTGGCCTTGGTGGTCTCATAGTATGGCTTGACCGCGTCTGAGCCCTGCTTGATGCGAGGCGCGAGATGCAAGTCATATTGTCCTTTTGCTTTGGCTTGAGCAATGTCCAACTGCGGCTTTATCGCTTTGTTCCACTCATTCTGGACGTAGACCTGCGCTTGTTCCACACGATGAGCGCCGTATGTGTTGTACTTGTCTACCGTGAACGCGGCGGCGGGTGTGTAAACTTTCTTGTTGAATGTGTCCACATGGGGTCGAATCTTGTCCACCTGTGGCGCGAGGTAGGCTTCGTAGTATGGATCGACGTACGGAGAAGCGTAGGATCGTGCTTCTAGGTATGGTTTGCAGACTTGAGGGGAGGAATCCGACAGCTCGGAGATGGAGGAAGGACACCGGAATAGCACTGTTATCAACAGATACCACGATAGTAGCCTGTAAATGTGTCAGTTGACTTCCAGTCTCGCAGACGGCGGATCTAGCGACGTCCGCCGATAAGTCATCCAATCCCATACCACCCAGAAGATGTACAGAATGAGATTTGGGCCATCGCCAACGAGAAGAGAGTGTTAAGCTGCCAGAAAATCTCCGCATTGGGTTACTGGAAGATAGTTGACATCACCGGTCGAGGTTGTTGCCAGCAGCGGGCATATCTAGCCGTGTGAAATTCTCTCGCTATATCGTACCTTGCGGACATGCTGAAAATGCTTCCTACGAAGCTTCCTCTCTGCTTGACTGGCCTCGCGGGTCGTGAAAGCTGGCCGTTCACTTTGGGGTCTGCATTGCCGTTGGCATAGCCGTTGGCATGGCCGTTTGGCTCGGCCTTCTTGGCCTTCTTGGCCCTTCCGTTCGTCTGAACAGCCATTGCTGGACAGGCGGAGGTGTCCTGAGCACCGATTCAGAGCTATCTGACTGTGTTGCGTCCGGGATGCGCGTGTTGCTCGGTCCGGGTCGGAGCAGTTAGGCGGTTCGTAGGGAGTTCGGGGTGCTTCTAAACTCGAACGCTGTTAGGACTACGGGCGGGCGCACAAAGCTGGGGGCGGGACTCACGAGGCCTGCCTCAGAGGCTATATTTCTGCAGAATTGTGGGAGCAGGACGGTCGCGGTGTTGCCAGGAGCAGGCAGGTTTCCTGGTTTCAGGGCTCTTGCGCTAGATGTGAAGCGAGGTAACGTCATTAACATCACTGGGCGGGACGGGGAGAGTTCGGCGCGTGGTTCGTGAAAGACGGTCAACGCCTGACAGCGCGACGCCTGGCCGCCGTGCGATGGGACGGCGATGGGACGGCGATGGGACGGCGATGAGCCGAGCGCAGCGGAGGCCACAGTTGCAGCCGCGAGCCTCAAGCCATTCACTCTGGTTCCAGAACACGCCCGACGGGAAACATGCGCGCATCGCTTGCGCATCGAGGTGCTGCCAAGCGCGTGCTCTCTTGGTACTCGACGGCCACCGCACGCGCCAGAGGAGTCATGGAAGAGTAGATGGAGCTAGAATCTGCCTGGACGAGTCTCTGCGACTCTCACAAGGCTGAAACGCTGCTGGACGATGCACCACATCGTCGTCGCCGTGGTGTTGGCGGAACTTGCCGGCGTCCTCTCCGCCCAGCTAGCACCTGCGGCCCGCGCTCGATGACTTCAACCTGCCCAGTTGCCTTCATCAATTCGCTTGCGCCCGCAAACTGCTTTCCTAGATACCCCTTGGTTATAGACTCTGTTCGCCTTTGGTCTTCTCCCTCTGTCTGCCACCTTTTGAGCCCAATCCCGCCAATCGCCGCTGCCGCTGCCGCTGCCGTTGCCGCCACTTTGTCCGACGTCTAGACTACCTTGCCTCCGCAATTAACTCCACCAACTTACCTTCTACCACCGCTTCTACCACCGCTGCAAGAACCTCCGCTCCCTCACACTCCGAGCCGATGCTATCACCATAACCACATCCGCCTTTACGGCTTGCGCCAGCTCTCTTAAACACACCCCCTCATTTCCGATCTCCGATCTCGCCATGGAGGACCAGCCTGGTACTGCCGCTGCTCTGGATCCTTTCCCAGACCTCATGAACGACCCCGCATATGCGACAAATACGAAGGCCCAAGACAAGAATGCAGAGGAGGCCGACACATGTCGGATATGCCGCGGCGAAGGGACCCCCGATGAGCCCTTGTTCTATCCTTGCAAGTGCAGTGGCAGCATCAAGTTTGTCCACCAGGAGTGCCTGATGGAGTGGCTGTCGCACTCTCAGAAGAAGCACTGCGAGCTATGCAAGACACCCTTCCGCTTCACCAAGCTCTACCATCCGCACATGCCGCGCCGCCTTCCCACCACCATCTTCTTCCGCCGAGCCATTATCCACATCTTCACATACTTCATATCATGCTGTCGTGCGCTGCTAGTCGGCACAGTATGGCTTCTTTGCCTGCCGTGGTGCATGCGGGTTACTTGGCGAAGCTTGTTCTGGGTTGGAGACGGTGGATGGACTCGCGATTTGTACGACGACCCACCTGCAAGAGTTCACCCACCTGTGGTGCCCTCTGCAACGCCCTGGACTGGAGACGCTATAGAATCTATACGGTCAACCATCGCATCGGCTCGAGCCGCTAATTCTACCATATCATTTGGAGGTCTCCCGGCCTTCCTGACCCCTTTCTCCCAGACCTTGAACATGAGCTCGGGAGAACCCTCGGCGTGGAAATTCGTTAAGAAGTATGTTTTGGGGGTTTACACTGCCTCCAATGGTTCATCTGCAGCTGGCACGAACAACCTCACGCCGAACGCTACGATTGAAAGTACACTTGGAAACAGAAACCCGTCACTCCTTTCCGACGTCGCATTCTTTGAATGGTTCAACTCACCAACGCTCAATCGGTTTGTTCTCGACGTACTGGAAGGACAGATAATCACGCTACTGGTTGTCATTGCCTTCATCCTTATTTTTCTCATACGAGAGTGGGTTGTACAGCAACAGCCTGTCATCAATATGGCTGCCATGGATGCAAATCACGCAGGGCAGGTTGCGGAAGTGCAGCAAGAAGAGATGGAGCCTGCTGCAGTTGTAGATCTAACTGGATTGGGGCCTGCTGAAGCTGTAGATCTGACAGGACCAGAGCAGGACGACATTGAAGTGGACGAAGAGCAAGCTGCTAGAGATGAAATCGATAGACTGGGAGTGGAGCGTCAAGCCTTAATGGATGAAAATGCTAGGCTGAGGACAGAGCGTCACGCTAGAGATGCGGCGCGACTTACAGCACAGCTGCGACATAACCGGCCTGGGCCAGCAACGCCCGTCAACTCTAGGCGATCCTCGTCGGCTAGAAGGACGCGCGACGCTGATTGGGGTTCGTGGCAGACCAGTGAAGAGCTTCCCGAGCCTATACGACATGCTTTGCGAACAGGCACTCCTGCGGAGGTCGCTTTTTTGGTTGAGAGCTTGCCACAAGAGGAGGCTACTAGGGTACGCAAGACCCTTGTCAAATTATCGAAAGAGATGCACAGTGATGATCTAGTATCATCAGACGAAGAGTCGCGAAGCTCGAGGAAGAGGAAGCGTGGTTCTAGGGCAGACCGTACCTCAGTTTCAACTCAGGCCGGAGAATTTGCTATCGTGGAGGCTGCTGGCACACCTGCGTTGAGAGAGGGCCCGGCCAGGTCTCCTGAGGTGGTGCAGCCTGACATTTCCGAAGCATCGAGCTCTCAACAACGGCCAAACATGCCAGCAAGAGACCGCTCATTTCTTGCTACGGAGATCCGTCGGAGCTTGGAAGAAGGCGAAACATGGAATCCGCTATCTCCAGATCCCACAGAGTCTCCGAGCGTTATTGAACATAATGAAGAAGCTCAGAACACAGACGACGTTTCGCTTCCAGGACTGAGTAAGGAGGATGGCGAAGCCTTGAACACACAGCCTCATTTCCACGTATCACAATCGGACTCCGAACCAGAAGAGCACGAGAGCGATCACAGCAGCGAAAGCTGGCAACAAGTAGCTGCCCCTACTAATCAAGGCTCTTCAAAAGGCAAGGAGAAGATCACTGAGCCAGAAGCTGGCGGCCAATCAACACTGGGATCATCTCCTACAGAGTCATCTGTGCATGTTACCCCCGCAGCATCCGAGAGTGGTAGTCTTGAGGTGAACATTACCGACGAGGCTGCAGATCCATCAGACACTGCCGCAGACATTGAGTCGCTTGATCTCTCAGATTCTTCAGTATCTGATCTGGTATTCCCCGACTACGACGATAGCGAGGCAGTGGGACCACCCATTGTTGCTGGACCCGAGCCTCCAAGGGAAGCTGTACCTCGTCAGCCTAGCTTGATGGAACGTATCATGGACTGGCTATGGGGAGATGTCGCGCCGGCTACACCTCCAACTACAGAAGACGCCGGTAACGACGAGCATGTGGTGCAGAACCTAGCAGATGAAGCCCCTTTCGTGCCCTTCGCAGGCCAAGTAGCTGCCGCTCACCGGGAGCAAGGGAACGCTCAAAGACAGGACCCAGAGGTAGCTGCTGCCGCCGCTCAAGCTGGCATTGATCTTAATGACCAAGACGCAATTGACGACGCCGAAGACCTAGAAGGTATTCTAGAACTGATTGGGATGCAAGGGCCATTGACAGGGCTTTTTCAGAACGCGATCTTCAGCGCTATGCTCATTTCCGCGACACTAGCCCTGGCTGTCTGGGTCCCATATCTTTGGGGCAAGTTCGTGCTCGTTGTCATGGGAAGTCCGATAGTCATTTTTGTCAAGTTCCCGCTCCAAGGTATTGCCATAGGTGCGGATCTTATTGTGGATGCAGCGTTGTGCGTTGGTGCCGGTGTTGTCTACTGGAGCGTACAGCTCATCCGCTGGATGCTCGTACCTCTCACCCTGGGTCTGCTCTCCAACATTCTTAATAAGCCGGCCGACTTCATCGCGAAGCCTGCACGGGCGGTAGCTGAAAATGCTATGGACCGCATCGCCAAAGCTTTCGTAGAGACGAGTACAATCTCCGGTCCGGACTTCTTTGCGTTGTCCACGAACTCGCATATCGCCTTGCGGACCATCCAAAACACGACATCTGAGGCCTTGAACACCACTGGTAATGCGATTGTCCTCCTCTATAAGAATGTTGCATCTGCCAGTTCAAACGGCGCAGTACTCGACATGCTTCGTCAAGTCCCTCCAACGGTATTTCTTGCCACATCCGCTGCTCTCAACAAAGCCCAGGACGTTGCCTTGTTCTTATGGACGTCCAAATCCTACAAGATCACTTTCAATATCGGCAAGAATGTTACTTCAACCTATGCTGCGATAGAGCAATGGACAGCCACCGACCGCCTGATTGCCGTCTTGGCTGGTTACATGTTCTTTGCCGTAGCTGGTGCCCTTTATCTGAAGAAGAGCACCCCATTCAGCTCCTCGCAACAAGGGCGAAAGGTTGAAGGGGTCGTAGCTGATGTTCTACAACAGGCTGGTGGTGTCTTAAAAGTCATCTTGATTATTAGTATCGAGATGATAGCATTTCCGTTGTACTGTGGCCTGCTGTTGGACGCCGCTATGCTACCGCTTTTCGAGAACGCGACCGTGTGGTCACGATACCAGTTCACGATGAAGTCGCCCTGGACATCCGGATTCGTGCATTGGTTTGTGGGCACCTGCTATATGTTCCACTTTGCATTATTCGTCTCCATGTGTCGAAAGATCATGAGAACTGGCGTCCTATACTTCATCCGCGACCCCGACGATCCTACTTTCCATCCGGTTCGCGACGTACTGGAGAGAAGCGTTACTACGCAGCTCCGCAAGATTGCGTTCAGTGCCTTGGTGTATGGCGCTTTGGTCATCATATGCCTAGGCGGTGTGGTCTGGGGGCTCAACTACACGTCTACTGGCGTCCTTCCCATCCACTGGTCATCGCACACTCCTGCGCTAGAGTTCCCACTGGACCTGCTCTTCTACAATTTCCTCACGCCGTTGGTCCTGAAGCTCGCTAAGCCCAGCGATGGCCTCCATGCGACATACCAATGGTGGTTCCGCACTTGCGCCCGCCTCCTTCGACTGTCTGATTTCCTGTTCGCCGAAAAGAATGCGGACGAACTAGGACACCACGTCCACCGAACTTGGAAAAGCCAGTTCTTTAGGTCCAAGGGTGACGTGAGAAAGCCCATTGTTAGAGACGACCCCAACCTTCCTGCGGAAGATCGAGACAGAGACGTATACTTCCTCTTCGACGGCAAGTACGTGCGTGCTCCCGCCTCCGACCAAGTCCGCATCCCTAAAGGAGACCCCGTATTCGTCGAAGTCGACCAATCCAACCACCGCCTCGACGGCAAGCCCGAAGAAAGCGGCGTGCACGCCCGCCACTCCGACATGATCACCATGGTCTACGTGCCGCCCTGGTTCCGCGTGCGCATCGCCCTCTTCGTGCTCACCATTTGGCTCTTCGCGGCTGCCACCGGCGTCGGCATCACCATCCTCCCCCTCCTCTTCGGCCGCTATCTCTTCTCCCTCTTCATCCCCCACTCCGTCCGCATGAACGACATCTACGCCTTCTCCCTGGGCATCTACACCCTCGGGGGCCTCCTCTACGCAGCGCTGCACATCCGCCCGCTGCTCGCGCACCTCCACCAACCCCTCCGCTCCCCCTTATCCACTATCCGCACTCTTGTTGTCACAGCCTCCCACTTCGCTTGGAGAGTCGCCCGCATTACCTATGTCTACGCTTCCCTGGTGCTACTCCTGCCAATCCTCTTCGCCCTCTTGCTGGAACTCTACATCCTCATCCCCCTCCACGCTTACCTCGGGCCTCACGAGCCCCACGTCGTCCACCTCATCCAGGACTGGACCCTCGGCTTCCTGTACGCGCGTCTCGCGGCTCGCCTACTCTTCGCGAACCGCCAATCGCGCCCGGCCCGCGCTTTCGCCGCTGTCGTGCGGAACGGGTACGGTGATCCCGACGCAAGACTCGCGACTAGGTGTTTCATCGTCCCGGTGCTGGTTGGGTTCGGCATCGCGATTGCGGTGCCGAGTGCGTTGGCGTGGGGGCTGAATCGCACGGTGTGGGCGGGCGGGAGTGAGGAGGTTAAGCGATTGGTGTGGCGATTCTGTTATCCGGTTGTTGCAGGAGCGGGAGGAGGGGTTTGGGGCGCGAGGGTGTGTGTGCGGTGGGTCAGGAGGTGGAGGGGTGTAGTAAGGGATGAGGTGTATCTAATTGGGGAGAGGTTGCATAATTTTGGAGAGAGGAGGGGGGGTGCTGTGAGTTCGGCGGCTTGATTGATAGGAAGTAATACCTAGGTTAGGATTGGAACGGGTGAGAGGGGTTGTGGGTATGGATATCCCCGATGGCGAAAGGTAGTTTTGGTGCACCACGGTGCTGCATTGGTGGCTCTTTGTTCTTTTTCTTGGGTTTTTGCAATGGGGATTGGAAGGGATGGGGTATTACGTAGGTAGTTGAAATAGATTGGCCTATGGCTAGTTCTCCTTTCATGAAGCTTGTAATCTCATACCGTGTCGATTCATATGTGCCTATCTTACAGTAACATGACAAAACTAGGAGGCTCCTTAAGGGGGAGGGGATATATCACGTGCGCCTCACATGCTCCGAACTTCGACGAGGTATTAAACCCTTTTCTCACGAAGCCTCTGTTCCATGTTATGGACATGGAAAAGGGAGTTGGCGACATCAAAAGGTTCTACGACAGTGTTCAATGGCTCTGGGTCGGTGTCCTGCAAGACACCGGCGAATAGGCTCGTATGGAGGGCCGTCGCCTCCATCACATGGTAATCCTCTCCACCACCTCTCCTCACGCACCCCTACCTTCAGCCAGGGTTCGCACACATGATCCGCACCGGCGTATACGGTTGTGTATAAGAAGAGGTTGCGGCTGGCGCGCATCACTACCTGCCCCTTCCTGACGCGCCACCGCTCCACGACCTTGATATGCTTTTCTCGAGAAGTTAACTCCACCCGCCCGCCACACGACTCCATCAGTGGAATTTTGTCCGCCTGTTGATCCAACGCTCGCTCCACCTCATTTTGTACTGATCGTTGACCTTTTCATCCTCCAACCGCCGCCAGATGCTCTGCGGAAGAAACGCTGTGAGGGGGGAAGGTTTTATAGTTGCGAGAGAAGGCAGATCTTTGTGGGCACGTGGGAATCACGGGGGCAACGAGGGGGGGAAGGAATCCACGTGCTCCTCGCGTGATTCGATTTTCGGTTGGGTATAAAACCTTCCATCACCTCTTCTCTGTTTCCGTTATGGGCATGGTGGAGGGAGTTGGAGTCATCAAAAGACCAACAGAAAGCATACGATGGCTCGGGGTGGGTGTGCTGGATCAAGTAGCACGGGCTGGCTCGAGGCTATATGGTGTTCGGCGTTCTGCAAAGCACAGGATGGCCAGAACTGATGGAGGGGCGTCGTCTGTATTGGATGATGCTGTCCACTACCTTACCTAAGTAGCGTGTAGTATTAGCCGCTGTAGCTTTTGCCGTTCATTGTAAGATACATTTTTGGAGAGTAGTAGAGAAGGGAAGTGGTAGGGAGCATCACCCCTATCTATGTGCTCCCCAGTGCGCTGTCACTCTACAGTCATTGTACCAATCCTCGACCCGAGTTTGATCCACGCGCCCACCCACCGCACGACTCCATGACTTTGCGGTGATCGGCTAGTTGATCCAACCGCACTCCAAATCCATGAAGAGGTTCAACGCGCGATGGTTTTAATCTCCCAAGCACCGGATGTCCTACAGAAAGGAGGATGAGGGGAAGGAGGAGGTTTTATACTCGTGAGAAAAGGCAGCACGTGAGGGTCACGCGGCTATGGTGGGATAGATGAAGGAAACCACGTGCCATGTGCATGATCTGGGGTTCGAAGAGGGATGTGTCGAACCTACGAGATGAGGCTGGTGCGTGAAGACTATGAGGGGAAGGAGGAAGGAAAGCACGTGTTTCTCGTATGATATGGGGCTCGACGGGGTATAAGAACCTCCAGTCGTCTCTCCTCTCTTTTCCTTATTGGTATGGAGGAGGGAGTTGGACGCAGCAAAACCAGGAGAAAGAGTAGTCTGATGGTGCCGGTTGGTGTGTACAACCCACACCTTGCTAGCACTTGATGTTGTCTGTCCTGCAAAAGTTAAGAATGCAGCTGCTAGAATAATGGAGGCGTGTTGACGTCGCACATTAGTGATACTCTCCACTACCTCCTTTAAACGCCCCTCCCCCCACGACTCACATAGCATCTTCCGGTCTCTTGTTTTACTTCACCACACAACCCAGGCCCAGCCCCCATGAGGGGCAACCCTCTGCGGAGTTGATCCAACACTCCATCGAGTCTCCGACTATCCTCTTTTAATCAACCACCGCTCGATGCTCTGAGGAGAAGAAGTGCTGCGAGGGAAAGAAGGTTTTATACCCGCGAGAAGATACTAGTACGTGGGGATCGCGCGGCGCCGGCCACTTGGGGAGCGGTGAAGGGTCAAAGGGAGACCACGTGCTGCTCACATGACGCGGACTTCGATGGGGTATAAGAATCTCTCGTCTTCTCGTCTTCGCTTCTGTTGAAGGCATGGAGGAAGGGGGTTGACGCAGCGAAATCTTAGAGAGAAAGATCTTCATGGTGCGTGTCGGTGTTTGCGAAAACAACACATCCTGCCTTGCAATGGTGGCTGAGTGCGAAACAGTAGCATAAACAGTCGATGTGTGGCTTTTTATCAGTAGTCGATAATGCTGTTCACCATCTTAAACTCGTCGTAGAGAATATTTCGGGCTAGAGGTTGTACTAATCATCCGTATTCATCTATGAAACTAGGTATTCTTACGAGAGGATAGAAATTGGAGAGCGTCATCAACAACCCTATGATCCCCCCCCCACGCCACGCACCCATGATTCTTGTTCTGTATCTTTGTTTTACTCCACCCACCCACACCCCACAACTCCATGGCGCGATTCCATGGGCGAGTTGATCCAACACAGCCACTCCATCATAGCTCTCGTTCTTGCGTTTTCTGATCCACCCGACACACGACTCCATCACTGCGCGTTTGACGAAGTGTAGATCCAACACCCAGTCCGTTGCGCACTGCATCTGGCAGTGTTAATCCCACATCCGCCTGGCTGCTCTGAAAAAGGAAGATGAGTGGGAGGAGAGAGGCGTTTTATAGCCGAGAGAAGTGGGGCATGTGGGCGGAGCGTGATGGTCACGTGATTCGTGTCTTGGTCGACGGCCATTTGCAACCGGAAGAGAGAAGAGGGTGAACACGGGGATAGGGGTGGAGGCGCACGCGATGCGGGGAGGCTTTGGGTACTTTTGTAAGATGAAGCATCGGATCGAACCGTAGAGAATCCTTTTTGGGAAAGGTAGCATCGCAGGTGGAGGTGGCCTCACAGTGCAAGCTATGTAGGTAGACTTGTAAGAAGATCTATCGGATCAAACCGCTGAGAAATGTTTTGGGAGGCGGAGCGTTGGACGGAGAGGAGGGGAAGGGGAGGAGACTTTGGGTGCTTTAGTAAGAAGAACCAAGGTTGAAATGAACTGCTGAAGGCGAACTCTGCCAGGCGGTACGTAGGGCACGAAGAGCCCCGTGCGTAGGTAAAAGAAGTAACCAACTAAATCAGCGTGGGCTAGATTGCACATCTCTCGGACTAGGAAAATATATCGTAAGGTTGCGGAGAAAAATACATCAATGCGGAATCATCGACTTGATATTGCGGCTCCTATTGCACGGGACTACACATTTAGCAGTACTCAGACTACTACGGCCATCAAGGTATTTTCTCTTCCTCACAAACTTCCAACAAACACGTTACTCCTGTTGGCAAAAGGTTCTGGATCCGGAGAAGCTCTTGATTGCTGAAGCAGGGGTGGCGAAAAGGCGTTCTCAGAGGTGTCGTTCATTGCCTTTTCTTTGGCCGCATCTAGTGCCGCTTCCGTGGGGGCTTTATTGCCTGGCTTTTCGACAGAGGGACCCCAAGGGCTAATTCTAGGTCCCAGAGAACTTCGGAGCTGGGCTGTGGGTTGTGGCCTCGAAATTTGAGGTTCTGGTACTTGATACATGCCAGCGATACCAATGAAGAACCCAGTCGCCATCGTGACTGCTCTCAAAATCATAGTGACGGCGTGCATCATCGCTAGCAAGGCTCTATAAAGTGCGTCGTGGCATAGGTATAGTCGCCTCCATTAATTGATTCACAGAGCATGATGGCCGTAAAGATGGATCAAACTTGGGCAGATTGGAGAGGTTATGGGGTCCCGGTTCAAGCGGCATCTGCTGGTAGATGCTTCGTGCTATGTTCAAATCTCGGGTCAGTAAAGCCTAATTAGAAGAGAAGATGACTCTTATGTACTATCATAACTCTGTAGAGCAGTCTGTGGGAATTTTCAGTGGCATTTAAGCAAAAACTGGCCAGGAAATCTTCTTTAATCGCGCTTAGGGCTGGTCAACGCCGTAAAAATCAAACAGAACCTGCTTTGTGAACACCTTGAACTTCCGTAATCTCTATATCGCGGCATATTTTGTCGCTCTTGTCGAATGCGATTGATGTCGATTCTGAGTCATCATGCTGTGTTTGGTCATCTTTGTATGCTTCTGTGACGATTATTCGAATGGGGGGAACGAGCCTCTCTTCAAGTAGGTGGGGGGGGGAGAAGGGCTTCCATAGACGCGTTGCTGGAATCAGATTCGTCCTCGTTGTCGGGGAATGGGGCTGGAAGATAGATCCAAGATGCATCGCCAGTATCAAATTTGTGATCGATTTCATGGAATGGGTCTGGAAGACCTTCAGCAGACGCGTTGCTAGAATTAGTCTCGTGTTCGTCTTCTTTGTTGTTTTCATCCTCATCTTCGTCTTGACTATCGTTCTGCGCGGGAAGGACGAAAAGCGCCAGTTGCTGATGATGTCGTCCAATGTGCTTCTGCGGCCGTTTTTGAGGGTCGATAGATTGGCCACAGAATGCGCACTCCATCGGACCACTTGGCTTCCCCTTCCGTTCACAAATGCCCGTAAAGGCGGCTAGGTGCGTTTCGCTAACGAGTCCGGTGTGAGCCCCCCCGCAGATGATCCTGGAAAGCAGAACTCGATTGGAAGGTTTTGTCGCAGCCATCAATACACTGCCAAATGCGGCCGTGGATCTTTGTTTCATGCTCGAACCACTGATGCTGAGATTCGAAGAGGCGATCGGGGGTCTTGCAGTCCTCGAAGGAGCAGGCGTAGGGACGGAGGTCTGAGTATACGTGTTTCCTAGAGTTAGTCAGAATGCGAAGCCACGGAATTCGAGGTATGGCTTATTCCCACGAGGCCCTACTCCAAACGGTAATGATCAAGAAGCAGAATGGACACTCAAACGGAAAACCATCTCGACCCTCTTTAGGTATTGGTGGACGTCTCAGCTTGTGCTCAACGGCGTTCGGATCTTCAGTCGCAGATGTCCCGAAAGTTGTTTGCGATATGCCGCTGTCGGAATACGCATCGTCATCGAGATCTAGTCGTGCGATAGTTGATGTGAGAGCCTAAAGGAAGTGTTGGGGCGACCGTGCTTTGTACGTCGCACTCTTTAGCCTGTACTTTTTCTGGCTGGCTCTCGTCCGTCTCCACTGAGTAGAACTCGACACCTTGAGACAGCTTATCGTGGTGGTCTTTGCGGTACGTGAAGTATTGTCGTCTTCGGGAATTAGCCTTTCCAAGACGGGCGATTATGTAGTCTTTCGCTTTCGGGAACTTGTCCCTCACATGGTTAATATCGTATTCCTCGTAAAAGGAGGTTGCCAACGTGTCAGATTCCACGATCTAGTCGTTCGGGGCTGGATTGCGGATTGCCATCGACAGTCGTAGGAGACAGGTAATAATATTAGCAGCATCTGACAAAAGAGGATCTGCAATCCAGGTTGCTTATCGGCTTGCGATGCGTCGTGACCGGGTTGGCCATCGAAGGAAGGGAGCTCGTCATCGCTGTCCGAACTATCGGAGTCTAAAACGTCGGACAGATTCTCGCTGGGTACGCGGATTCCCTTGAGGATTTCAAGCATTGTCAGGTCAACGATCAGTCAAGCGCTTCGGAAGCCCATAGAATATTTGAAAGAGAATAGTCGTTTCGCGGCAAAGGGCTTGGGCATCCATTTGAACTCGTCGATGACAAGAGCCTAAATTTATGAGAAACCTTTAATACTTACTACTTTCAAGCGTCTCCTCTAATTCAACCAGCAGCACGACCACTTGCTCTCTTATATGCGATGCATCGCGAAGTCTATATTCAAGCGATCGCCTACCAGTATGGTGTGCCGCGATATTCCCGGACCAGATTTTAAACCGCCCGTATTCATCTCTCACTTGGAAAGGATCCAACGTCCCCAGAAGAGCTCCGGTAGTCTGACGAATCCCGTGATATACGATTTCGAATGCTTTCGTGCGGCTACTGACGTGATTTAAGATGTGCAAGCCGATTGTTGGATGTAGGGTCATTGCGAATAGCTGAATATAGAATCGTGAATTAGATTATTGAATGAATTTCTGGAGATGAAGGGACTATAAATGAGGGCTGCAGTACTGAATTTCAGGCAATCTATCTCAAGAGGACTTGTAGTAGAATATTTGTTCAAGTTGTCAGACGAAGTTAGGGATGCGACATTGTCCTTCGTTACGCGAACATCTCAGCTGATGGGGCTAACGTATTCCACAAGCGAGCCGTCCACCCAAGCGAGCCGTCCACTTCATCATGAAAACCGGCCTCAAACGTTAATTGCTCCACAACGCCAATAGATATCAACTATATACAACTTGTAGCCTAATCTGCAGCAACCTCTGCATCATTTTTGCACGTACGAATGTTGTGCCCTAGCTCGCCGCAGCGTCCACAGCGCCGCGCGCTCCCGCCAGAATCTGCCCCGCCTTGCTGCCTTTTGCTTTGGGCGTCCTTATCAA